CAGGTGGCCGCAGAAGGACACAACTTTCTACTGCACCTCCTGTACCAGTTCCTGCTCTTTGACTTCCGGATCTGGAGCAACAGCGACTTTGCCGTCCGATTGGGTGAGCTTAGGCCAGCCCTTGCAGCCCCAGGGACGGACAGGTGGCGTGGTTGAAGCTGTGCACCTGAACTCGAGTGCTCCTGCTGGTTCGGGGCGTTGTCGCCCCAACCCAGGAGAAGGTTGCTTGTGTGGCTGTCTTACGACAGGCTGCAGTTCAGTGGTAGAGCGCTTGATTCTCATGCAGAAGGTGCCTGGTTCAATTCCTGGAAGCGCCTGGGGGAGACCCTTGCCTTGAAATTCTGGTGAGCCACTACCAGCCTGTGTAGAAAATATTGAACCTGATGCACCAAAGATCTGACTTGGTATACAGCAGCTTCCTGGTTCTCTTCATTGTAGTATAGGATAGCATCAAGATAAATTATAATAATAATAATAATATAATAATAATAATAATAATAATAATAATAATAATAATAATAATAATAATAATAATTTATTATTTACAGTGGTACCTTGGGATGCGAACGGGATCCGTTCCGGAGCCCCATTCGCATCCCGAACGGAACGCAAGATGCGACGGCGCATCTGTGCGGGTCGCGTTTCGTCGCTACCGCGTATGCGCGTCATGGCATTGTGAGTATCTGCGCATGCGCGAGTGGCAAAACCCGGAAGTAACGCGCTCCGTTACTTCCGGGTTGCCGCGGAGCGCAACTCGAACGTGCTCAACCCGAAGCACATTCAACTCGAGGTATGACTGTATACCCCGCCCATCTGGCTGGGTTTCCCCAGCCACTCTGGGCGGCTTCCAACAAAATATTAAAATACAGTAATGCATCAGACATTAAAAGCTTCCCTAAACAGGGCTGCCTTCAGGTGTCTTCTAAAAGTCTGGTAGTTGTTTTTCTCTTTGACATCTGCTGGGAGGGTGTTCCACAAGGAGGGCGCCATCACCGAGAAGGCCCTCTGCCTGGTTCCCTGTAACTTGGCTTCTCGCAGCGAGGGAACCTCCAGAAGGCCTTGGCGCTGGACCTCAGTGTCCAGGCAGAACGATGGGGGTGGAGATGCTCCTTCAGGTATGCTGGACTGAGGCCATTTAGGGCTTTAAAGGTCAGCAACTCTACAGTTCTATTATTCTATCTGCTTTGGCATGCGGGAGGTCCCCGGTTCAATCCGTGACATTCCCAGGTAGAGCCGCAAGGCGGAGTCCCTGCCTGCAGCCCCAGAGAATCTCAGCTGAAGTTCAGTGTAGACAAGCCTGAGTTAGTTGGACCAGTAATCTGACTTGGCATAGGCAGCTTCCGATGTTCTTGTGGCGCGATTGAAAGTGGCCTCCATGTGGCTTGGCACCTGTAATGCCAGGAAACATTTGGACAGGTGTTCCACCCGCAAGGCGCTGGAAAACCTGCCAGCTTTGATCCGAGATTAGGCAGCCTGTTTCTCACCTGTTCCGGGCTCTCCTCCCTCATATGGCGCTGTGGTCTAAACCACCGAGCCTCTTGGGCTTGCCAATCAGAAGGTAGGCGGTTCGAATCCCCGCGAGGGAGTGAGCTCCCATTGCTCTGTCCCAGCTCTTGCCAACCTAGCAGTTTGAAAGCACACCAGTGCAAGTAGATAAATAGGTACCACTGCGGCGGGAAGGTAAATAGCGTTTCCGTGCGCTCTGGTTTCCGTTACGGTGTCCCGTTGCGCCGGAAGCGGTTTAGTCCTGCTGGCCACAGGACCCGGAAAGCTGTCTGCGGACAAACGCCGGCTCCCTCGGCCTGAAAGCGAGATGAGCGTCGCAACCCCATAGTCGCCTTTGACTGGACTTAACCGTCCAGGGGTCCTTTACCTTTCTTTTTACCTTCACTTTCCACCTCTGTGCTTCATAGGTCACATCCAGTACCTGTCAAACGTAATCAAGGACCACAAGCAGAGAATCCGTAGGAAATACGGTGTGCAGTACATCCTAGACTCCATCAGGACGTATTACGGGTGAGTTTGGAGCGTCTTCTTATATTGTGAGGACAGAGGAAGGAAATACTGTTTGGGGAGCATCCTTGGTGCTGTCATTGCATATATAAACAGTATGTACGCAAGAGTTAACTTCACTCACTTGGTGTGATTTATTGTTGACCTGCTCTTGTCACCCCTTTATATTGCAGAAAACTTTGTGGAATGCAATAAAATGCAAGGCTATGTTGGAGAAAGTTGGCCATGTTGGGTAACTCAGTGGAAATAGCTTTGTTGTTCTTTAGTCGTGTCTGACTCTTCGTGACCCCCTGGACCAGAGCACGCCAGGCACTCCTGTCTTCCACTGCCTCCCGCAGTTTGGTCATACTCATGCTGGTAGCTTCGAGAACACTGTCCCACCATCTCATCCTCTGTCGTCCCCTTCTCCTTGTGCCCTCCATCTTTCCCAACATCAGGGTCTTTTCCAGGGAGTCTTCTCTTCTCATGAGGTGGCCAAAGTATTGGAGCCTCAGCTTCAGGATCTGTCCTTCCAGTGAGCACTCAGGGCTGGTTTCCTTCAGAATGGAGAGGTTTGATCTTCTTGCAGTCCATGGGACTCTCAGGAGTCTCCTCCAGCACCAGAATTCAAAAGCATCCATTCTTTGGCAATCAGCCTTCTTTATGGTCCAGCTCTCACTTCCATACATCACTACACAACCTTTAAGTGTCTGCAGAGTCTCCCTTTGCTCTTCTCCAATATTTTTCTGCATTGATGCCTATTGATTTGAAATTTGCTGGACCGTGTGGACCTCCTGGCTTGACCCAGCAAAGCAAGCGCCTCTAGGTGACCCTCGCTTGCTCTCTCTCCCCCAGGACTTACAAGGAGAAGCCCATCGCAACTGATGACATCAAGACGGTGCAGACGTCCCTCTTCAGCCTGATCAAGGAGTTCTTCTGCAGGAACTTCTCCACCGAGGAGATGCAGAGCACCTTGAACTACCTTGCTGCTGTGAATGATGAGCACCAGGTATGGAGGAGGGGCAGGGAAAGCCAGCAATGACCTGCTAAGGAAAGGGGACCTTCCCAGGCTACAGCTTTGGAATAGGATAGAGTTTCTCACGCTGTGATCTACAAACCACCAATGGTCCACAAGGTTCATCCGGGTGTTCTGTGGTGTGTATGCGAAACTTTGAACAGGGGAGATGGCACATACATTTTATTACTTTTAATCGGCTTTTGGTTGCTTCTTTTATTTCCTATATTGTATTTCATGATTCTCAATTGCATTTCGATTGCTTCTTTTATGTCCTATATTGTTTTTCAATTTGAGTCCTGTGGAACAGAAGCCTGGGTAGCCCAGCTGGTTAGAGCACGGCGGTGATAACGCCACGGTTGCGGGTTTGAACCCTGTATGGGACAGCTGCATTGCAGGGGGTTGGACTAGATTTCCCTCAGGGTCCCAACCCTACAATTCTACGATCTCAAATTGAAGTCCAATATATAAGAAAATGAGGAAGCAATAACAATGTGATTTAAAGCCGTGCAGCATCTAGCACAGCACTTTACGACTGCTGCAGCAGGCAGGGGGTGAAAATCATTTAAGTGGTCAGGCAAGACCCTCAGCAACTGGGGCGGGGGGGGAGAATTTGGGAACCCCTAGAATAGAAGATTTCAGGCCTCCAGTGACAGTAGCAGCAGCACCAGATTCCCTGGATCCCTGTCCAGCTGTGCCTTCAATAGTGTGTACTAAAGGACAGAAGATTATAGGACGATGCGGCTGAGACTTCCTGCGATTGCACAAATTTTAATTCCCATTGTCTCGTAACTGGGGGTCACATCTCTGGATCTGCCAAGTTGGCCATTCTTTCTCTTCCGTGTATTGGGTGGGTGGGCTTTCTGTCGGTCCTTAAGACAAGGTTTTGGAGTCTGTGGCCCTCCAGGTGATTCTGGGTTGCAATTAACATCACCCCATACCATCTAGGGGGGGCACCCACCTGGGAACGGCTGACTTGGTGAACTGCTATATTAACACGATGGACATGGATGTATCACTGGTCTAAACCACTGAGCCTCTTGGGCTTGCCGATCAGAAGGTCGGTGGTTCGAATCCCCGCGACGGGATGAGCTCCCGTTGCTCTGTCCCAGCTCCTGCCAACCTAGCAGTTTGAAAGCACCCCAGTGCAAGTCGATAAATAGGTACCACTGCGGCGGGAAGGCAAATGGCGTTTCCGTGCGCTCTGGTTTCCGTTACAGTGTCCCGTTGCGCCGGAAGCGGTTTAGTCCTGCTGGCCACAGGACCCGGAAAGCTGTCTGCGGACAAACGCCGGCTCCCTCGGCCTGAAAGCGAGATGAACGTTGCAACCCCATAGTCGCCTTTGACTGGACTTAACCGTCCAGGGGTCCCTTACCTTTTTACCTTTTACCTACACGGATATATCTAGAGACTCGAACATCAGAGGGCAGCTCTAACACCCACATCGCTTTCCTCGAGTTCTTGTGATTTCGTGCACAACCCTGCCTTCTCGCCATTTTCCTCGACGCCTTTCTGTATGTTGTAAGCCTCTTACCATTCTTCTGCTTTTGTCCCGCAGGTCTGCGGAGTGCTGGAGGTGATCCACAGCCTTTTGAAAAGCTCCCCATCCCAGGAGCAGATTTACACGTTCCTCTTTGAGCCGGGGAACGTGGAGATTTTTTTCTCGCTGCTCGTCCAGCGGAAGTTCTCGGACGAAGTACGCGAGAGGATCTTCAAGGTGAGAGAGCTGTTGGGGGGGGGGCTTCCTGGGGCTCGAGTGCTCCAGGTCTCTCGCCGGACTCTCTTTTTTTTTAAAAAAAAAATTATTAACAGGCCAATCACATCACATTATCCAAATCACATTAGTTCCAAATTATACAGCCAAATTTTGTTGAGGGTACCCATACATCAAGCTCCAGACGAGTCCAAAACTCCGGAAAAGTCCAGACATCACTTACGGTATATTACTGCTTTAATTAGACAGTTCCATCCAGTTCGATCCGGATAGTCCTTCATTACTTTCTTTCTCTTCTTGATGTTATCGTATATTCCTTTCTTTGCAACCTCTGATGATTTTCACAAGCAGATTGAAAACAGGCGTCTCTGTGTGGGTTTTATACTCTTCGAAAAATATCGCTCAGGGACAGCCTCTGTTCAACGCTTCCATAAACACAATTAATCTTCGGTCTGTCCTTTATTTTTCTCAGGCTTACCAAATAAATCAAATGAGTCTGGGGGCTCTGTCAGGTCAAACTTGCGTTCCAACATTCCTTCTCATTCGAACGATCCTGATTCTCCTACCCATCCTTCTTTCTCCGGCAAGCCTCTCTTGGCGAGACGCCATTTTTTAACTGCGTCATAAAAATTTCCTCTTTCTCACTGTTCACCAATTTTCTCTCCTGTTGTAATCCATCCCACACAGTTCTTAAAATCCTGCTTATGATGAATAAAAACGCGATGATCTTGTTTCTATCCTCTCGCCGGACTCTCATGGGGTTGGGGTTTCAGGTCCAGATGGGCCCAACCATGTGGACTGTCGTGGGCAGAAATTCCAAGACCTAGTTCACAGCGGGAGGCTGCCTGGTGCTGTTTGTGTGTGAGATGCACAAACCCTGAGGGCAAGGGGAACAGCCATATCTGTAGACCCGAATCTCTTCCCCGTGCAATTTCACTATGAAATAGCAACAGTTTCCCTATTGCCTTCGTTATATACCTCTAGGCACCAGGCAAAAACAGTCAGGTGGGCAGCTAATCATCATCATCATCATCATCATCATCTAATGCTTATTGGATGGATTTTCCCCCTAAATTGATTTTTGATTTTATTGTTATTCACGTTTTATACCGTATTTTATGCTGTTTTTTTTTGTAGCATCAATTAAGTGTTTTAAATTTGTTATTAGCCACCCTGAGCCTGGTTTTCTGAGCTGGGAAGGGCGGGGTATAAATAAAAATTTATTATTATTATTATTATTATTATTATTATTAAACCCAGGCCTTGGGCTGATTGGTAACCTATACCCTATTAAATGTGTTTGTAAGGGCTTGTGTTTTTGTGGGAATGTTGTGGATAGCAGGAGAGGATATATTGATTAAATATTATCCTTCCTCACTCAAGCTAGCGAGCTGGCAGCAGAGCACATTCCCTTCTACATTGCAGGAAGCAAGTTGATGAATTCATTAGAATCGTATAAGTTGAGCAATCCAGTCTGGCTTGTCCAGAATGGATTGTTCCTGGTAAATTCCCCTTCAGTTCCCTCTTAAAAACCAGAATGACATGACAGTCTTCTTTTGAAAGTAATGATAAAGTTTACAGTAGAGCCAGTGTGGTGTAGTGGTTAAGAGCGGTAGACTCGTAATCTGGGGAACCGGGTTCGCGTCTCCGCTCCTCCACATGCAGCTGCTGGGTGACCTTGGGCCAGTCACACTTCTCTGAAGTCTCTCAGCCCCACTCACCTCACAGAGTGTTGGTTGTGGGGGAGGAAGGGAAAGGAGAATGTTAGCCGCTTTGAGACTCCTTCGGGTAGTGATAAAGCGGGATATCAAATTCAAACTCTTCTTCTTCTCCTTACAACCGCCTCTACTTGGGCCCGATCCAAGTTGCAAATGCGGCAAACCTGGAAGTAAATACAGTGGTACCTCGGGTTACAGACGCTTAAGGTCACAGACTCCACTAGCCCTGAAATAGTACCTTGGGTTAAGAACTTTGCTTCAGGAGGAGAACAGAAATCACGTGGCGGCAGCAGCAGGAGGCCCCATTAGCTAAAGTGCTGCTTCAGGTTAAGAACAGTTTCAGGTTAAGAATGGACCTCCAGTACGAATTAAGTTCTTAACCAGAGGGACCACTGTACCAGGTTTGCCGCAATTCACGCACGCGCAGAATCGGCTTCTGCCGTTTGTGCATGCACAGAAGCACACCGCCGCCGAATGCGCCTGCGCACAATGGCACTAGCGACCCAAATCGACTTACTGACAGACAGACCTCCGGAATTGATTATATCCAAAAGTAGAGGTTCCACTGTACTTGCATTCAGTTCACAGTAGTGTCCCTAAGGCAGGCTTTATCTTGTAGTTACAGTTGTAGAGAAAAAGAAGTCTAAGCTGTCTTCTACCTTGCGGCTTCCATCTGCTTGTGAGGATGAGCCACATGCTGCTGGCTAAGAGCCCAGGGAAGAGTTCAAAAGGACAAATGCAACAACAACAACAATAATAATAATTTATTTATTATTTATACCCCGCCCATCTGGCTGGATTTCCCCAGCCACTCTGGGCAGCTTCCAACAAAACACTAAAATACAATAAGCTATTAAACTTTAAAAGCTTCCCTAAAGAGGGCTGCCTTCAGATGTCTTCTAAAAGTCTGGTAGTTGTTTTTCTCTTTGACATCTGGTGGGAGGGCGTTCCACAGGGCGGGCGCCACTACCGAGAAGGCCCTCTGCCTGGTTCCCTGTAACTTGGCTTCTCGCAGGGAGGGAACCGCCAGAAGGCCCTCGGAGCTGGACCTCAGTGTCCGGGCTGAACGATGGAGGTGGAAAAGAGGAAGGTGGCTGCGTGGCTAGCCATTTTATCGGGTCAGCTAGGGTCCAGCCCATCTACCTGGCCACACACAGGGGGAGTAGGCTCCAGAGCAGGATAGACAGGAAGTCCTCTCTGTCTGGAGCAACATTCCCCTGTGTGTCCACTCTAGGAAAACAGGAAATGTTGTATTTGACTGCTTCCATAACGATACACCCCACACTTATGGTGTGGGTGGGTTTCCCATTCTCACGGGATGCTAGCTTCCTCGTCCTTTCTCCGCACAGATCCTGTACAAAATGCTGAAGTACGAGAAGGTGAACGAACGGAGCAAGCAGCGCCTGAAGCTGAAGGACGTTGGCTTCCTGGGCTTCATCTCGTACCTGAACGACATCCCGGTGTCCATGCTGATCCGGTACCTTTGGGAGCAGGTGATTGGGACAGGTAAGGCCCAGTGAGAGATGCAAGTGGCGCTGTAGCCTAGGACTTGCCAATCAGAAGGTCGGCGGTTCGGCGGGGTGAGCTCCTGTTGCTCAGTCCCAGCTCCTGCCAACCTAGCAGTTCGAAAGCACACCAGTGCAAGTAGATAAATAGGTACCGCTCTGGCGGGAAGGTAAACGGCATTTCCATGCACTGCTCTGGTTCGCCAGAAGTGGCTTAGTCATGCTGGTCACATGACCCGGCAGCTGTACGCTGGCTCCCTCGGCCAATAAAGCGAGATGAGCGCTGCAACCCCAGAGTCGGCCACGACTGGACCTAATGGTCAGGGGTTCCCTTTACCTTTAAGGCCCAAGGAAGGCGGTTCAGAAACTTCACCTGGTACAAAATTCGGCAGCCAGGTTGCTTACCTTTTAAGGATATTGCACCAATCCTGGTCCAACTCCACTGGCTGCCAATTAGTTTCCAAGCCGTCCTGGTTTTGACCTATAAAGCCTTAAACAGCTCAGGCCCTGACAGCTAAAGATATGCAGTGAAGACGCCAGGCAGGCCTCCCTGGGGAGAGCAGCCCACAAGCAGGGAGCCACCACAGAAAAGGCCCTGTTCTCATGTTGCCGCTCTTCGGACCTCTCGTGGAAGAAACACACCCTTTGAGAACCACTGCCCTAGATAATCCCAGTGTGTCCCCCCAGGGGGCAGTCCTTCCCACTTTGGGAACCGTTGAGACTAGGGCCGGACCAGGGTTTGAATCCCCCACTCGGCCACTCAGCCATGAAGCTCCCTGTGTGATCTAGGGCCCATCGCTCACTTTCTGTCTCACCTACCTCGCAGGGTTGTTGTGAGGATAAAATGAGGGGGGAGGAACCATTGAGCACCCTGCTGTTTCCTTTTCCTCCAACCAAGACTGTGTTCTGCTGCCTTGCTTTCTCCCCAGACACCCCGAACTACAAGGATTTGTTGGCCGTGATCTACCTCTCGCACCGGGCAGAGCTGACCGTCAGGCTGGACATCTGCAGAGAGGTGAGGGGTGGAGCCAGGATCTTACCAGCTCCTGAGATGCTTCATCCGGGCAGGGCGAAGCAGCCCAGTGCACACGAAAAAGCATGCAAAGGAGCCTTGCGCAGAGTCAGGCCATTGGGCCTTTGCGGCCAGTGGACTCTGCTCTGACTGGCAGCCGCTGTGCAGGGTCTTAGGCAAAGAACTGCCAGTGGGAGATGCCAACTTGTAGAGTTGGCAGGGACCCCAAGGGGACACCCAGCTCTCTCCCGCCATTTCCAGGTTTGAATTGAATTGTTTATTTATTTTCCGGCACCGCGCATTAGTGCATAAGTGCGCGCCGGGGGAGGGACACTTGCGTTCAGAAGCATTGCTGCTTGCAACTAGGCAGAGCACAGCCATCGTGGCTAATTCTGGGAATGGAGTTGAGAGATGACCTAACTTGGGGAGAAAACAGTAAAGACCTGATGAAGAGAGCACAGCAGAGGTTATCTTTTCTGAGAATCCTCCAGAAAAATAATCTCTCAAAGGACCTGCGGATGGCATTTTACCATTGTACTGTGGAGTGTATTAACTTATGGTCTGTGTGTGTGGTTTGGGAGCTGCACGGTCAGGGGAAAAACAATGCTGTCCAGGGTTGTAAAGACTGCGGAGAGAATAATTGGGTGCACTCTTCCCACCTTGGATCAAATCTATGCTTCCAGGTGCCATAAGAAAGCTGCAGAGATAGTGCCCACCCCGGAAATGATCTCTTTCAGCTTCTGCCTTCTGGAAGAAGGCATAGGGTTATAAAGACTAGGACTAGCCGCCTGAGAAACAGTTTTTATCCAAATGTGATTTTGGTTTTAAACACAGTGTAAGGTAGTCTCTCTCCTGCCAACCTAGCAGTTTGAAAGCACGTCAAAGTGCAAGTAGATAAATAGGTACCGCTCCGGCGGGAAGGTAAACGGCGTTTCCGTGCACTGCTTTGGTTCGCCAGAAGCGGCTCAGTCCTGCTGGCCACATGACCCGGAATCTGTACGCTGGCTCCCTCAGCCAATAAAGCGAGATGAGCGCCGCAAGCCCAGAGTCGTCCGCGACTGGACCTAATGGTCAGGGGTCCCTTTACCTTTTTAAGGTAGTCTCTGTCTGAGTATATTGTATTCAGTTATGGGGTATCAGGGTTTTTAGGGGCTGACCAGGCTGGGATAGCAGGCTTGTAGGTTTTTGAAAGACTGATGTAGATTTTTTTCAGTTTTGTTGTTCTGTATGGGACAAGGACCATAAAGATTATTGTATTGTATCGTAATAGAAACCGATAGCCCTCTCCTCCGCCAATCTGTCTAGCGCTCTTCAAAGCAGGATTGTAAGAAGCACAGCTGTAACGCTATCGCCAAACTCCTTCACAGACGCATTTGCACCAGGCAGAAATCTAAATGCACAGGCCCCCCCCCCCCCCGCTCACACCAGGACTGGCCTGGGACATTTCGGGTGGCAACCTCTCTCTCTCTCTCTCTCTCTCTCTCTCTCTCTCTCTCTCACACACACACACACACACACACACACACTCAGCAACCCCTTACCGTATTTTTGCTCCATAAGACGCACCTAGTTTTTAGAGGAGGAAAGGGGGAAAGCCCCGTTTTTGGGGGGATCAGCTCACAGTTGTGCAGCTTCTTTTGCAAAGGGGAAAAGCCCCCCTTTTTGAGGATCAGCTCAGAGTTCTTGAGCTTACTTTGCAAAGGGGGAAAATCCTGTTTTTCTGGGGTTCAACTCACAGTTCTGCAGCTTCTTTAGGAAAGGAAAGGAGCCATTTCTACAGTTTCCAGACAGATAATCTTACCAGCCAGTCACATGTCGCTGGGGAAACAAACAGCCTCCGCCTGCAGAACATTCAACCATGGAGGCCTGGGCAAGGGAGCCAGCGACCGACCACACATTCACTCCATAAGACGCACAGACATTTCCCCTTACTTGTTAGGAGGAAAAAGTGTGTCTTATGGAGCAAAAAATACGGTACTTATGCCCACCAAGTTGTGCCATCTTTGGTCAAGCTCAACAGCTGCCAGCTCGCTTGCCCCGGCCTGGATGCCAACGGCTCCCCTTTTTCTCTTCCAGCTCTTCCGCCTGATCTACAAGCCGCAAGACCCGGCCAAGCAGACGGTCAGGCAGCTGGCCAAACTGGCCGGCTGGCAGGACACCCTCACCAAGCTCTACGTCAAGGAGTCCTACGAGTCACGCCAACACAGCCTGTCGGGCTCGGCCAATGGCGGAGGCAGCCTGGACCTCCCGAAGGCCTCGGACCAGCCGGGCACAGAGGCCGGGAAGGAGCCCGCCGGCGCAGCGCCCCCTTCGGCCTCCGACCTCCAGGATCTGGACGTCTTCCTCCCGCTGGGCTACGAGGCCTCGGACCCGGAGCTGTCGGAAGGCTTTTCGGACCACTCGGTCTCGCCCACCAGCAGCCAGAGGGGCAAGGCTTTCCCGACGTACGGCTTCAAGTCGTTCGACTCCTCCGACCTGGCCAGCCGCTCCTCCTCTTCCAACACCATCGATCCTCCCGGGGCCACGGAGGCCCCCCAAGCGGGGGACACGCTCCCGGCCGACAGGGTCTACCACCCGCTGTCTCCCTTCTCCATGTCTCCATTCGACCTCGGCCTGGATTTGGGCAGCACCAGCTCTGCCGCCACAGCCGAGAGCGGGGACCAGACGCCCGTCAGCCTGCCGGGGACCCCGTCGCCGCTGGAGAACTTTAAGCCCTTCCCGGGGACGCGGGTAAGGAAGAGCTCCAGCCTCTCTAACGTGCTGGACGACACCAGCTACCAGGATACCTTGCCCAGTGACAGCATCTCCAACACCAGCAACCCTCAGGTGAGCCTCTTTCCTCTCCATCTTCCTGTGTGAGGTGTTGAGACAGGTGTGCAAACTCCGAAATCTCCACCTTGTTGGCTATTTGCAGTTTAGTTGCGCTGCAGGAAGCTTGCTGGGGAGACCACGCATTACAAGAAACTCAAAAATACCGTATTTTTCGCTCTATAAGACACACCAGACCACAAGACGCACCTAGTTTTTGGAGGAGGAAAACAAGAAAAAAAATATTCTGAATCTCAGAAGCCAGAACAGCAAGAGGGATCACTGCACAGTGAAAGCAGCGATCCCTCTTGCTGTTCTGGCTTCTGGGATAGCTGCGCAGCCTGCATTCGCTCCATAAGACGCACACACATTTCCCCTTACATTTTAGGAGGGAAAAAGTGAGTCTTATAGAGCAAAAAATACGGTAACTTTAACAAGGTTTTAATAACAAAAACAAAAACTCCTTTTACACTAAACATAAAGGTAAAGGTACCCCTGCCCATACGGGCCAGTTGTGACCGACTCTGGGGTTGCGCGCCCATCTCGCTTAAGAGGCCGGGGGCCAGTGCTGTCTGGAGACACTTCCAGGTCACGTGGCCAGCGTGACAAGCTGCATCTGGCGAGCCAGCACAGCACACGGAAATGCTGTTTACCTTCCCGCTATAAAGCGGTACCTATTTATCTACTTGCACTTAAGAGTGCTTTCGAACTGCTAGGTGAGCAGGAGCTGGGACCGAACGACGGGAGCTCACCCCGCCGTGGGGATTCGAACCGCCGACCATACGATCAGCAAGACCTAGGCGCTGAGGTTTTACCCACAGCGCCACCCGCGTCCCAGGGACACTAAACATATCAACAGACCCATCCACCAGGGTACTGAGAGAGCTAGGTGCTGCTCTTTATATACTACACCCAATTGCTGACGCAGCTTAATTAACACAACTTAGCAGCACCTGCTATACTGTTTCACATCTGTAAAACTGGGTCTCGTTATTTGCTCTGGCCCTTAAAGACATACACATCTTGTGGAACAATAATGAACCTTCACATTTAAAAAGACCATTCAACATACCTAAACATGCTCTCTTTCTAGGACATTGTTATGTGCCAGCGTGAGAGAGTGGGTTCTTCTTTTTAGGGGAGGGGGGAGGGGGAAGGGGGAAATGGGGGAATGAGGATGATGTATTTTTGATAAATTGTTATGTTGAAATTCCTAATAATAAAAAAATTATTATTTTTTTAAAAAGAGAAGTCTCTGTCACAGAAATACCTGCAAGGAATTAGCAGTTTTGGAAACAACCCAACCTTCCTTTAAATTTGCTTCACATACCCAGAGTGGAATATAGTGGTATTCTTTCTAGGCAGTCTTAAGCTACTTCAATGTTTATGTTTTTTTGGCTTTATTGTAATGCTTCAGTAGCTAATGAAACACAAAAGGAAGCAAAATCTGTTTCTACAAATACTCAAACATGAAAATTCTGTTGCTTAACTCTCTGCCTGTACCGCTTTTTAAACTGATGAACGGCATACAGGCTGAAAGCTATTTTAATATGTAGAAAATCCTCTTTTCAAAACATGAGTATTAATCAGGGTGGTGCAACTCTTTTTCTTAGTAGTAGTAGTAGTAGTAGTAGTAATAATAATAATAATAATTATTATTATTATTATTATTATTATTATTTATTATTTATACCCCACCCATCTAGCAGGGTTTCCCCAGCCACTCTGGGCGGCTTCCAACAGAATATTAAAATACAATAGTTTATTAAACATTAAAAGCTTCCCTAAACATACTTACAGATATCGTATGTGTCTGATCCTAAATACAATTATCCAAAACTAAGCTAGCATTAGAAAAATCAGAAAGTGTAATTCTGTTTCTGGGAGTCTCTGAATCCCAGGAATCGAAATTTGGGTAGGACCACCGTCAGACCAATGTTAGTGTCACTTTAGAAGTCAAAATACCAAACGATCTGTTTCTAGCATAATAAAAAACAAACGGCTTATTTGTGATACGAAGTGCAACTGAGTTAAATGAGCTTCATCCTTCTCTTGCAAGAATATATTATTTCTCTGGCGCTAGAATTGCTTTGCTTTGAATCTTTGCGTTCTTTCATTGCACAAAGGTGAGCAGCAAAGACTCGTCAGTAATGTGACAAAATAACTCCTCCCCCCAATAAAAAATAAAAAATAAATTGAGAAGTCTCAAATGCGGCAGCTTTTCCTCGCAGGGGAGTCTCTCCACCTTCTTGATCCCATTGGCTGCTCTTTTCTGAACCTTTCCCAAGCCTGCAGGATTCCTTTTGGGGTGAGCTCACCTGTTGCTTCCTTCCTCCGCAGCAGACGCCCGAGGAAGAACTGTGCAACCTGCTCACCAACATTGTCTTCTCTGTCACCTGGCGAGGGGTGGAGGGCTGGGACGACGCGGCCTGGAAAGAGCGCGGGCAGGTCTTCTCGGTCCTCACCAAGCTGGGTTCGGCCTGCGAGTTGGTGCGCCAGCCGGACGAGATCAAGCGCAGGTAAGGCCTGGCATTTGAGGTTGGCCGAGTGTAACCCGTGTAGCCGATCCAGGGTTAAGACTCTTGTTGACTGCCCTGCGCTGAACCCAGAAATTTTCCCCTTTCTGGGTGCCTTTGGAAGAAAGTATGCGTTCTGTTTTCTAAAAGTCAGATGGTGTTTATTTCCTTGACATCTGGTGGGAGGGCGTTCCACAGGGCGGGCACCACCACAGAGAAGGCCCTCTGCCTGGTTCCCTGTAACCTTGCTTCTTGCAATGAGGGAACCGCCAGAAGGCCCTCAGAGCTGGACCTCAGTGTCCGGGCTGAACAATGGGGATGGAGAAGCTCCTTCAGGTATACTGGGCCAAGGTAGTTTAGGGCTCGAAAGGTGAGCACCAACACTTTGAATTGTGCTTGGAAATGTACTTGGAGCCAATGTAGGTCTTTCAGGACCGATGTTATATGGTCTTGGCAGATGCTCCCAGTCCCCAGTCTAGCTGCCGCTTTCTGGATTAGTTGTAGTTTCCGGATCACCTTCAAAGGTGGCCCTTCTTCTTCCTCTTCTTCCTCTTCTTCCTCTTCTTCCTCTTCTTCCTCTTCTTCCTCTTCTTCCTCTTCTTCCTCCTCTTCCTCCTCTTCCTCCTCTTCCTCCTCTTCTTCCTCTATTTATACCCCACCCATCTGGCTGGGTTTCCCCAGCCACTCTGGGCAGCTTCCAGCAAAATAATAAAATACAGTACAGTGGTACCTCAGGTTACGTATGCTTCAGGTTACATACACTTCAGGTTACAGACTCCGCTAACCCAGAAATAGTGCTTCAGGTTAAGAACTTTGCTTCAGGATGAGAACAGAAATTGTGCTCCGGCAGCGCGGCGGCAGCGGGAGGCCCCATTAGCTAAAGTGGTGCTTCAGGTTAGGAACAGTTTCAGGTTAAGAACAGACCTCCAGAACAAATTAAGTACTTAACCCGAAGTACCACTGTAATTCATCAAATATTAAAAGCTCCCCTAAACAGGGCTGCCTTCAGTTGTCTTCTAAAAGTCTGGTAGTTGTTGTTCTCTTTGACATCTGGTGGGAGGGCGTTCCACAGGGTGGGCGCCACTACCGAGAAGGCCCTCTGCCTGGTTCCCTGTAACCTCACTTCTCGCAGGGAGGGAACCACCAGAAGACCCTCTGAGCTGGACCTCAGTGTCCGGGCTGGACGATGGGGGTGGAGACGCTCCTTCAGGTATACAGGACCGAGGCCGTTTAGGGCTTTCAAGGTCAGCACTGCCTCACCTCTCTTTCTCTCCCAGCCTCCTGGAGATGATGATGGAGTCGGCGCTGACGGACATCAAAGAGGCCACCCTCGCCATGCTGCCCAGCCTCACGCAGAACGCTCTCAAGCTGCTTCGGCTCCTCCAGGACTTCCTGTTCTCCGAGGGCCACAGCAACCAGGCCTTGTGGAGCGAGAAGGTTGGTGGAAGCTTTCTAGCTGGATGCAGGGCCCTAAATTATCAGTTCTCCTCCTCTCCAACGGCAACACGGATCTGTGCACCTTCAGCGCTGCTCCAAGTCTCATTGCTTGGGGAAAACCCGGGGGGGGACTTGGGCAGCTGCGCGGAGGCAGGGGGGACCTTCAGTCTCTGCCACAGCTTCATAGGGGCAAGACCGACCGGAGATGGTTTGCTGTGCTCATTAGGCCTGATAGATCATTCTTTGTCTAATAAAGAGTTAACTCCAGCCTGCTCAGTGTGATTTCCTGCTGGCTCACTCCTGACCCTAGGTGGCTTTCTGAATTCTCCGCCTCCAGGGAGCATAAGAGGTCGGTGTGGCGATCACACAGGGTCCCCGGACGTTTTATCGTCTATTGATCCCTGTGGCACCACTTGATTTCTCGCTGCCCCCCCCCAGGCCCTACCTGGTACAATACTGAGTCCAGACAGGGTTAAACTGGAACATAAACTTCTGTTTATTTATTGCAGTTTAACAAGCATGTGGTTTCCTAAACGGTATCGGTCAATTACAATCATGGGGTGCCTATCCAGACCTATAACTTCCGCTATCTGCTCTCACTCGCTAAACCACCTCTCAGATATTTACTCGTCTTCCTAGCTCCTTACTGACTCAACTTATTTCGCTTGCACGTTAAAGTGCAAGTAGATAAATAGGTACCGCTCCGGCGGGAAGGTAAACGGCGTTTCCATGCGCTGCTCTGGTTTGCCAGAAGCGGCTTAGTCCTGCTGGCCACATGACCCGGAAGCTGTACGCCGGCTCCCTCGGCCAATAAAGCGAGATGAGCGCCGCAACTCCAGAGTGGCCACGACTGGACCTAACGGTCAGGGGTCCCTTTACCTTTACTTAACTCAACCTCCCCACAACTCAACTCAACACAACTTAACTCAACTCCCAACAAACTCCTCCCAGAGCTGGTTTTATAGTCCCTCTGACTCCACCCCCTGGGTCCTGATTGGGTAACCTGTTTAACTATTTCACCTCCAGCACTCTCATATGTCAGCCGTCCTTGCATCTTCACATTCTGCTTCTCTCCTCCTTGGCTCCAGGTTTATGAGGGGGTCAACAGCCTGTTGGACAAACTGGGGGTCTGGCACCACTTGGCCAACGGCACCTCCGACTTGAAGGAGATGGCGCAGATCGGCTTGCGGGTGCTCATTGGATATATCTCACTGGAGGACCTACAAGTAAGTTGTCCAGCTAACTTGGGGGGCCCATCCTCCTCCTTCCAGTTCCTGGTGATTCCGGGCTGCTTTTGCAACATGTGCAAAAGATCTCCCCCAGGTTTGCTATGTTTTTTTCTTTAAAGGAGCAGGGACCAAGCAACAGGAGCTCACCCCGTCGCGGGGATTCGAACCGCCGTCCTTCTGATCGGCAAGCCCTAGGCTCTGTGGTTTAACCCATCCCTAATCTATGAACATAAAGATCGTTAAAAACAGCACAACACAGCACAGCCATTTTTAAATAGTTTTTTTTGGGGGGTTATTGGGTTGTTGTATTTTATTTTGATGATGTATCTTGTGGTTTAATATTTTGATTTTATTCTGTGAACCGCCCTGAGACCTCTGGGTATAAAGGTAAAGGTACCCCTGCCCGTACGGGCCAGTCTTGACAGACTCTAGGGTTGTGCGCCCATCTCACTTAAGAGGCCGGGGGCCAGCGCTGTCCGGAGACACTTCCGGGTCACATGGCCAGCGTGACAAAGCTGCATCTGGCAAGCCAGCGCAGCACACGGAACGCCGTTTACCTTCCCGCTAGTAAGCGGTCCCTATTTATCTACTTGCACCGGGGTGCTTTCGAACTGCTAGGTTGGCAGGCGCTGGGACCGAGCAACGGGAGCGCACCCCGCCGCGGGGATTCGAACCGCCGACCTTTCAATCAGCAAGCCCTAGGCGCTGAGGCTTTTACCCACAGCGCCACCCGCGTCCCTTCCGGGTATAGGGCGGTATATCAATTCAATGAATGAATGGCCGGTTCTTCTGTTCCTTCCCGCCTTGAACCGTCCCTCTCCTCCCTCTCCAGCTGCAATCCATGGCCTATGTGAAGCTCCACAGCCTCCTGCAAACGGCCTCGGCCCCCAAGAAGGAGGAGGCCTGCTACGTCCTGGGCAAGCTGGAGACCCCCCTGCGCCACTCGCTGCACACCAAGTCGGAGACCTTCTCCTGGCTGGTGCCCATCATCCGCACTTTGATGGACAAGTGCTACGACACCCTGCGGCTGCAGCACTTCCTCCCCTCCCTGCCCCCCACCAACGGCAGCCCCACTTTCTACGAGGACTTCCAGGAGTTTTGCACCACCCCGGAGTGGATCGCCTTCATCGAGAAGCACGTAAGTGATTGACTTCCATCGCTGACGCCGCACTTCCTGTATACGTTTTAAGCAAGAGTGTATCTGTTATTCCGTATTTTCATATTGAGATACAGTGGTACCTTGGGTTAAGTACTTAATTCGTTCCGGAGGTCCGTTCTTAACCTGAAACTGTTCTTAACCTGAAGCACCACTTTAGCTAATGGGGCCTCCTGCTGCCGCCTCGCCGCCAGAGCACGATTTCTGTTCTCATCCTGAAGCAAAGTTCTTAACCCGAGGTACTATTTCTGGGTCAGCGGAGTATGTAACCTGAAGCGTATGTAACCTGAGGTACCACTGTACTCCGTTTGACTGTATGAACTGCTCGTGTATTACAGCCTGTAGATATTTGTATATATAAAGTAAAGTTAAAGGGACCCCTAACCATTAGGTCCAGCCGTGGCCGACTCTGGGGTTGCGGCGCTCATCTCGCTTTACTGGCCGAGGGAGCCAGTGTACAGCTTCTGGGTCATGTGGCCAGCATGACTGAGCTGCTTCTGTCGAACCAGAGCAGCGCACGGAAACGCCGTTCACCTTCCCGCTGGAGCGGTACCTATTTATCTACTTGTACTTTGACATGCTTTTGAACTGCTAGGTTGGCAGGAGCAGGGACTGAGCAACGGGAGCTCACCCCATCGCGGGGATTCGAACCGCCGACCTTCTGATCGGCAAGCCCTAGTCTCTGTGGTTTAACCCACAGCACCACCCTGCTGCTCTTGAGTAGGACTAGGCTGAATAGAACTCCGGATGTGGCTGTTTGACCCGCTGCCTCTGTGCCATTGGATGCAGAGGGTTTTTTTAATAAAAAAAGGGCTCTTGATGGATCTTCCCCGGTGGGGTCTCCTCCACAGGTGCAGCCCACCATGGCCCAGTTTGAAGTGGACACGTTCGCCAAGAGTCATGACCACATGTCGAACTTCTGGAACTCCTGCTACGATGCCTTGATGAGCAGCTCCCAGACGAGGGAGAAGGAGAAAGCAGAGAGCAGGAGGAGGTTTCAGGTAGGCGGCGACGGGCAGGCACCCTGCGCTACAACTCCCACAGCTGGGATGAAATTGAAATTGAAATACTTTATTGTCACTTGTGCAACTTGTATACATTGAGATTACATGAGAACCCCCCACTCAGCTCTCACCTTAGTGAGGACCTCACTTGAAAAATCAACATAGCTTAGGTGGTCAGAAAGGCCCAACAGAGACTCCATTTCCTCAGGGTCTTGCGAAAGAATAATGTTAAACAACAACTGATGGACTCCTTTTAGTAAAGGTAAAGGTACTCCTGCCCATATGGGCCAGTCTTGCCAGACTCTAGGGTTGTGCGCCCATCTCACTCAAGAGGCCGGGGGCCAGTGCTGTCCGCAGACACTTCCGGGTCACGTGGCCAGCGTGACAAAGCTGCAACTGGCGAGCCAGCGCAGCACACGGAACGCCGTTTACCTTCCCGCTGGTAAGCGGTCCCTATTTATCTACTTGCACCCGGGAGTGCTTTCGAACTGCTAGGTTGGCAGGCACTGGGACCGAACGACAGGAGCGCACCCCGCCGCGGGGATTCGAACCGCCGACCATGTGATCGGCAAGTCCTAGGCACTGAGGTTTTACCCACAGCGCCACCCACGTCTCCTTTTACCGGTCTCCTTTTACCGGTCCACAATAGAAAGTGTCCTCTCATATTGTATCACAGTGTGGTATTCTGGCCTGACAGCCACGGACAGAAAGTGATGGTGAATACAGCCCATGATATCATGGGCTGTCCCTTGAGCCCGCTAGATGACATCGCAAAGGATCGTTGCCTTAGGAGAGCGAGAAAAATTCTCAGGGATGACTCACAGCCCAGCCAGCACCTCTTTAATCTTCTACCCTTGGGCAGGAGATATAGAAGTATAATCAGCCATACCAACAGGCTAAAAAATAGCTTCTATCTGTGGGCTGTTAGGCTGTTGAACGGAAAATAACATAGCGAAATTGACTTGTGAGATGGTGTGTTGTTCAATAAGAGATTGGGGGGAGGCTCGTTTAATTTCGTTGTACACAGGTTGTACAATGACAATAATAATATTAATAAATCTTTAAAAGGTGGCAGAAAGTGGATGGCTCGCGAATAAACAGCCGAGATGGCGCAGTTTTTCCTATATAGGGTGTGCGTTAATGGATGCACTCTCACAGACTCATGGGGACTTTGTCCTGTAACGCGTTGCAGTATGATCGCATCTTACGTGGGGGTTCAGTGGCAAGAGTTCTGTGTATCCTCAAAACTGCATCGAACTGCCCCGAGCAAGCATCTCCTTACCTTTTCAGAGCTGGCAGAATGAGCGGGCCTTTTCTGATAAGCAAGGCAAAGTCGACTCGGTGCACCGGCTCTGGGATGCTCTCACGAGATCTCGCTGGACCTTCCGAATTCCTGCAAGATCTCCTGGGACCGTCCCTAGGCTCCCAAGAGCTAGTTAGCATGCCAAACGGGCCTTTCCCTGTGAGGCAGGCAGCAAGCATTAAAGCTCATTTTGCTCTGGGGAAAACCTTGTGCGCACTTAATTATCATGATTTCAGCTTCGTAAGAGGCCAAAATTGCACCAGTTAAACGTGCAAATTGCAGAATGCACAAAAAGTATAATTTTTCGACAGAAGAGACACGAAAAGTTTGAGTATGATAAAGCTGTCTAATATTAGAAGCCTGGCGGTTTGTGAATCTGGTTAGAGGCTCCTTAACCGAACCCCCAGAAAGGGAATTTTCTTCCACCTCGAATTATTATTATTATTATTATTATTACTCCTGGCGTGCGATTGAACCCCACTCAAAAACTAGTGGTTGCCCCATCAAAGATAACAGATTTGGACAACATCCCGGAATTGGAACGGAATCAGACGAAGCTGAGCTGATAAAAAGGCAGTTGAAAAAATGTATATTAACAAAGCTGTATTCAGCGGATGAAAGTATATGGTGTTTGACATGAATGAGAATCCCGGACCCAGGGACAAAACACTGTTAATATCAAGATGTTAATATCGAGAAGCAATACTAAGATGTGGAGATATGCTCCAGAGATCCAGACCGTGGGGAGCCCCAAGAAATTAATAAACACAATTTGGACTATAATTTGATCTTTTTTATTTTAGTTTTTTAGTTTTCCAAGTGGAGTATTATGATGGGATATTTAATTGGATGTTTTTTATTGGAAAATCAATAAAAATGGGCACCACAGTTCAAGAAGGACACTGTCAAACTGGAACGTGTCCAGAGGAGGGCAACCAAAATGGTCAAAGGCCTGGAAACAATGCCTTATGAGGAACGGCTAAGGGAGCTGGGCATGTTTAGCCTGGAGAAGAGGAGGTTAAGGGGTGATATGATAGCCATGTTCAAATATATAAAAGGATGTCATATAGAGGAAGGAGAAAGGTTGTTTTCTGCTGCTCCAGAGAAGCGGACACGGAGCAATGGATCCAAACTACAAGAAAGAAGATTCCACCTAAACATTAGGAAGAACTTCCTGACAGTAAGAGCTGTTCGACAGTGGAATTTGCTGCCAAGGAGTGTGGTGGAGTCTCCTCCTTTGGAGGTCTTTAAGCAGAGGCTTGACAACCATATGTCAGGAGTGCTCTGATGGTGTTTCCTGCTTGGCAGGGGGTTGGACTCGATGGCCCTTGTGGTCTATTCCAACTCTATGATTCTATGAATTTCTATGAATTCTAAAAAAACAACAAAACTAGCAGTTGCACCTTAGGTGAGCTTGAAAATATCCGGCATCAGTTGATAGTCTCTCTCTCCCTTTCTGCTTCCATGGATGAACCGCGCCTTTCTCTTGCTCCACCCGCAGCAGGGACCCCCTTTCAGCCGAGGGGACCCCTGCCCCATTCCCCTTCCCTTCATCACCCTCTTCCCCTTTTCTCCCCCTCTCCCTCCCCCACCCTCGGTTTCCCCCTTTTGCCAGGAGTTGATCTTGGAGCCGGTGATGAAGAAGGCCAAACACGAGAACATCCGCCACACCAATATGCTGAAGCAACTCAACAACCACCAAAACACTGTCCTGAAGCAATGGAAGGCCTTGAGGAGACTGCTCACCTCCCAGCGCTCTGCCTGGGCCGATCGGTAGGGCTCTTCTCATTCCTCCGCTGGTCTCCAGCCGCCTTGACCGGCGGCCGGACGGGGCAGGTGACCTTAGAAAAGCTGTGCTTCCGCTTCTGTGTAAGCTATTGAGGTTGAATCCTGACAAGACAGAAGTACTGTTTTGGGGGACGGGGGGCGGGCAGGTGTGGAGGACTCCCTGGTCCTGAATGGAGTAACTGTGCCCCTGAAGGACCCAGGTGCGCAGCCTTGGAGTCATTCTGGACTCACAGCTGTCTATGGAGGCGCAGGTCAGTTCTGTGTCCAGGGCAGCTGTTTATCAGCTCCATCTGGTACGCAGAAAGAGACCCTATCTGCCTGTGGACTGTCCTGCCAGAGTGGTGCATGTTCTGGTTGTCTCCTGCTTGGACTACTGCAATGCTGCCGGAGAGCCACTGCTAGGCTAAACTGGCTGTTCTGGTTTACCTAGATAGGCTTCCTCTGGCATAAAGTACCGGATTTTTTGCTCTATAAGACTCACTTTTTCCCTCCTAAAAAGTAAGGGGAAATGTGTGTGCGTCTTATGGAGCGAATGCAGGCTGCACAGCTATCCCAGAAGCCACAACAGCAAGAGGGATCGCTGCTTTCACTGCACAGCGATCCCTCTTGCTGTTCTGGCTTCTGAGATTCAGAATATTTTTTTCTTGTTTTCCTCCTCCAAAAACTTAGGTGCATCTTATGGTCTGATGCGTCTTATAGAGCGAAAAATACGGTAGCTATTTATGACTCTAGATTTGAAGGATTACCTGTATAGGGAAGGTTTTAGTCGTACCCTTGGTTGTCGAACGCCCTGGAACTCGGGACATTCTGGCTCCCGAACGATCGAAACCCGGAAGCGACTGTTCCGGTTTTCAAATGTTCTTTTGGAAGCCAAACATCCGGCGGGGCTTCCGATTGGCTGCTGGAGCTTCCTGCAGCCAATCAGAAGCCGCGCTTTGGAAGTCGAACAGACTTCTGGAACGGATTCTATTCGACTTCCAAGGTATAACTGTATAATGTTTTATTATGTTTTTATATACACAACACAATAGATAAACTTTATTCGCATTAGCCAACAACCACAGCAACATAAAATAAGCAATACAGTGGTGCCTCGCAAGACGAAATTAATTCATTCCGCTAGTTTTTTCGTCTTGCAATTTTTTCGTCTTGCGAAGCACGGTTTCGGAAAAGTTTTGGAAAAGCTTCAAAAATCACAAAAGTCTTCAAAAACCTCAAAAAAAGGCTACCACACCGCGTGCTATGAGTTGCTCCAAGTCGCAACTGTATTAACGGTTTTAAGAAAAAGGAAACAAACTTGCAAGATGCTTTCGTCTTGCGAAGCAAGCCCATAGGGAAATTCGTCTTGCGAAGCAACTCAAAAAACCAAAAACCCTTTCGTCTTGCGAGTTTTTCGTCTTGCGAGGCATTCGTCTTGCGAGGTACCACTGTATATACAAATACAATATATACAAATTTAAAAAAGACAGCAATGGGTAAAAAGGGCAATCAAATGACCAAGATTATCATTCAGATAGTGGCCCTTAATCTCATTGCCCCTCGATAAACCTAGCAACCTTTGCTGTCGTCTGATCATTTTGATCTGATAAAAGAAAGAACAATGTGGCCGCAGATGGGCGGCCTGGGATGGTGAGTAGGAGTGGGGTGATGATCTCATCCCTCAGGTCTTTATAAAGGGGACAGGACAGGAGAACATGAGCCACTGTTTCCAGATTGCCATCTCCACAGGGGCAGAGTCGTTTCTCAGTTGGAATCTTTGGGTATCTGCCCTCAAGGATGGCAGAGGGCATCACATATAATCTGGCCAGTGTGAAGGCTGTTTTTGTTGTTGTTGTCTTTTAAAGATATTTTATTAAAATTTTCAAAATTTTATATGACATAAAAACAACAAAAAACAGAAAAGACAAAAATACATGCAAAAGACATACAACCACAAGTATAACTTCGTTCCCTTATATTCATAAAACTTACTTTCCCGACCTCCTCATAACTCCCCTTTCTGCATTCCAATCTCTAATCAATTCTCTTCAGCAAATCCTTCCCCTATTTTCTATTTAAATTTCGACCTTTCTTTTCTTATTTGCATAATCATTACAGCTAACAACCACTTAATTTCTGAATCGACATCGTTTTAACATTCAGCAATTGTACAATATTTCTTAAGATAGTCCTTAAATTTCTTCCAATCTTCTTCCGCCGTCTCTTTTCCCTGGTCTCGGATTCTGCCGGTCATCTCTGCCAGTCCCATATAATCTATAACTTTCATCTGCCATTCTTCCACGGTGGGTAGTTCTTCTGTCTTCCAATACTTTGCAATACTGTTTTTATATATGTTGGAAGCCTCCCAGAGTGGCTGGGGCAATCCAGTCAAATGGGCAGGGAACAAATAATAAATTATTATTGTTGTTGTTGTTATCCTTCCTCTTAATACCCAGGATGCTGGAGGAGGAGACCTTACTGACTCTCTCTCTCTCTCTCCAGAAATCCTCCTGAGATCCACTGGAAGTTGTCATGCGCCGAGACCTACTCTCGAATGAGGCTTAAGCTGGTACCCAACTACAACTTTGACCGTCACACGGAGGCCAGCGCTCTGCGTGACAATCAGGGTGAGGAGGAGCCTCCCTGGGAGTAAACAGGCAGCTTTGGGTGACGGCCCATCACGCGGCCCCGTTTCTGTGAGCCAGCATCGGTGTGGCCGGCTAGGGATCAGGGTTCAAATCCCCACTCGGTCGTGAAGCTCCCTGGCTAAGCTTGGGCCAGGCACCGGTTCTCAGTCTTGACTACTTCGCAAGGTTCTTTGTGGGATAAATACAGGGAGAAGAGCCCCAGACCCCTGCCTTGACCTTGGGGGGAAAGGTGGAATATAAATGCTGCAGTGAAAAATCACCCTCTTCCTGCATTGGACTAGAGGACCTTTCCATCTCTGCACTTTTTTATTATATTTTTTATTTTTCAAAGCAAATTTACAACTAAAATAACAAACATTGAATCCAAAATAAAACAGTACAAACAAGGAAAAAAAACACAAGAGGAAAAACACAAACAAAAAACAAAAACACATCTACAAATAAAACCATATCATTCTAATCATTACGTACATATACACATATTGACTTCCTTTTATTCTAAGACCTCGAAATTTTTACTCTTTCTAAATTGTTGTGTCTAATGTAGATTAAAAAGGTAAAGGGACCCCTGACCATTAGGTCCAGTCGTGGCTGACTCTGGGGTTGCGGCGCTCATCTCGCTTTATTGGCCGAGGGAGCTGGCGTCCAGCTTCCGGGTCATGTGGCCAGCATGACTAAGCCGCTTCTGGTGAACCAGAGCAGCGCACGGAAACGCCGTTTACCTTCCCGCCGGAGTGGTACCTATTTATCTACTTGCACTTTGACGTGCTTTCGAACTGCTAGGTTGGCAGGAGCAGGGACCGAGCAACGGGAGCTCACTCCATCGCGGGGATTCAAACCACCGACCTTCTGATCAGCAAGTCCTAGGCTCTGTGGTTTAACCCACAGCGTCACCCGCGTCCCTTCATTCGTTACATACCGATATGCTTACTCCAGAACAATGTTTTTTCATATACTCTTTAGCACATCCCCATTCTTTTAAGAATTTTTGGTCTGTTAAGATGCACAGCATTCATAAGGAGACAATCTGTCCATCTCTGCAGTTCTGTGACTCTTATCATTTGTTAATTGTCCCTCGGGGATTCAACCCCCTGTCCCAGTGCGGCCGTGAGGTCAGGGTCCTGATCCCAGCATTCGTTTCCTCTACCTTCCAGGGGCCGATTATTTGCACAACCCGGCTGAGCCGATCCCCTTAGCCGTCGCCAAGGAGGCAAAGGTCAGCGAGATGCAGGATGACCAGCTCGCAGAAGAAGACCTCTCCTTCCTGGATAACCTGTAAGTTCTCTTCCGGGCAACCATGTGATAGATCGAATCCAATGGGGGGCTAGCACAGCACAGAGTTAAACTCTGGAACTCACTTCTGCATGGGGCACCAAACTGGGTGCCATTAAAAGAGAGTTAGAAAAATGTAATGTGTGATGCCGATAGAAGTAGTACAACTCATGCAACACGTTGGCGACTGTGCTGGTCCGGGGGGGGGTGTTACCGTGAGGCGTGGTCAGAGTCTGGTCCTGGGTCGAGGGTCTGGAGACTGTCCACCAAGGGCGAAGCGGGGTCCAAAGCAAGAAGCCGGGCGTAATCGGGAACTCCGGAAAAACAGGTCTGGGTGCTGGCAGAAACAGGTTTCCAACGTCGTTGCTCCCGCAACCTGGGACTGGGCTGACTGGCCTTTATCTCCTCTGAGGCATAGGGCGGCCCCGGTCCACAGGTGCCTCGCCTCTCCTGGCCTGGAGGCGAGCACTCCTCCTGCGGGAACTTAGTTCCCTCCGCCTCTCTGCCCTGAGCCTCTGCAGCTCAGGAGAGGCTGGAGGGTTACTGGACCCAGAGGCCGCCTCACCTTCCTCTGACGGGGCTGGGAGAGGAGCACCTGCAGGCAATGGGTCCTCCATCACCTCAGGAGGTAGAGCGGATTCAGCTGGTGTCTGCTCCTGAGGATGCGGCACAGGTGAGGACCCTTCAGGCCCCAGCCCCGGCTCAGCCGGCCCTGGAGGCGGGGACTCCTGTGCAGGCTGGGATTCCTCCGGTTCAGCCTCTGAATCAGATTCCCAGGCCATCACAGCGACTAATATGCACACAATAATTACCAAAATAATTATGCGTTCTTTATCAGTCTTCTGAGAAAAATACAAAACCTTATGCAAAGCCACAGAGACTTGCGAACTTCCCAACCTGAGATGAACTTGTAATGTCTGGTTTCAATGGATTTTTCAAATGCTCAGTCTTTTGTTTTCTTTATCTTTTTGAGTAAGTTCATGAAGATACCAACAAAAGGTAAGGTCGGTGTTGTTTACAATACCGAGAGATGCTAGTGAAGTTGTAGATGGATGTTAGTGAAGTTGTAGATGGATGTTAGTGAAGTTGTGGACAGGGTGCTGGCGTTTTGCACCTGTTTCGCCCTGGCAGTCCAAGTAATCAAGAGGCCGATGTTTGCCCCCGAGGGGGACCTTTAACTGGGGCTTGCAGGTAGCCCACTCCCAAGGTAGTTTTCCGGGCTTCTTCAGTGGTCTAATCTCAAAGCCTTGATACTATTTCTTGGCTATTTCTTCGCTTAAGCTTAAGAGACTGATTTGCTAAAGAAATAGTATTCTCTATGAAATTGAATATCAATACAGTGGTACCTCTGGTTATGTACTTAATTCGTTCCGGAGGTCCGTTCTTAACCTGAAACTGTTCTTAACCTGAAGCACCACTATAGCTAATGGGGCCTCCTGCTGCCGCCGTGCCACCAGAGCACGATTTCTGTTCTCATCCTGAAGCAAAGTTCTTAACCTGAGGTAATATTTCTGGGTTAGCGGAATCTGTAACCTGAAGCATCTGTAACCTTAAGTGTCTGTAACCTGAGGTACCACTGTATAGCTAGAATGCAGCCTACTGTACTGTACCCCGATGGGGCCCTTTTACTGTGGTTTGCAGGTAGCTGTGATGAAGGATGGTTAATAAACTTAATAAATAATAATAATACACTGGTAGCTTGGTTCGCAAACTTAATATGTTCCGGAAGTCCGTTCCAAAACCAAAGCGTTCCAAAACCAAGGCGCGCTTTTCCATGGAAAGTAATGCAAAATGGATTAATCTGTTGCAGACTTTTAAAAACAACCCCTAAAACAGCAATTGAACATGGATTTTCCTATCTAACGAGACCATGGAATCCATAAAAGGAAAGCAATAAACAATGTACAGTAGTGCCCCGCAAGACGAATGCCTCGCAAGACGAAAAACTCGCTAGACGAAAGGGTTTTCCGTTTTTTGAGTCGTTCCGCAAGACAAATTTCCCTATGGGTTGCGAGTTTGTTTCCTTTTTCTTAAAGCCGCTAAGCCGTTAATAGCTGCTAAGCCGTTAATAGCCGCTAAGCCGCTAATAGCCGTGCTTCGCAAGACGAAGAGACTCACGGAACGGATTAATTTTGTCTTGTGAGGCACCACTGTACTGCAGTTACACAATCAATCAAGCTGAACTGGGTTCCACACAGTCACAAAAAACAAAAGCAAAAGAGCCGCAAAAACAAAAACGCAAAATAAATAGCGAAAACAGACAGACCTCAGCGTAACACTCAAAACGAAAGTGTGGCGCTCAAATCGGAAGCGTAACACTCAAAATGGAGCACGTTCGGCTTCCGAAAGAAGTTTGCAAACCGGAACACTTACTTCTGGGTTTGCAGTGTTTGGGTTCCAAGTTGTTTGAGTACCAAGGTGTTTGAGAACCAAGCTACCACTGTAGTAATAATAATAATAATCCAGGTGGCCTTCCAATGAGGTATAAAGGAACACCAAGCGTTACCTACCAATCCTTCGTCCATCCCTCCATCCAGGGTGGAGCCCAAAGAACAAAGTCAGAGGGAGAAGCTGGTGATCTCTGAGGACTGCGAGCTGATCACCATCGTGGCCGTGATCCCGGGGCGGCTAGAAGTCACCACTCAGCACATCTACTTTTACGACAGCAGCTGTGAGAAGGATGAGACCGAGGAAGGTAAGGGCAGGGTGTGTGGGGTGGATCTGATCCCAGGAAGCACTTCCAGCTACCAAGGTCTGGAGACCAGAGTTCATGGCCTCTCCAAAAAAGAAACAGGAATACCTCGGGCTAAGAACTTAATTCGTTCTGGAGGTCCGTTCTTAACCTGAAACTGTTCTTAACCTGAAGCACCACTTTAGCTAATGGGGCCTCCCGCTGTTGCGCCGCCGCCTGCACAATTTCTGTTCTCATCCTGAAGCAAAGTTCTTAACCCGAGGTACTATTTTTGGGTTAGCGGAGTCTGTAACCTGAAGCGTCTGTAACCAAGGTACCGCTGTATCTCCCTTTTGTTTCTGAGCCCTGCCAGCTGCCATTGAACTTGATTTCACTGTCATGGAATTCTACTTAGTTTTGGTCCAGAGTAGACTCCAACGTATAGCTAGCAGAGTAAAAACTTAAACATGTTGCAGGATTCCCAAAATAGACCAGAGGCAATGAATATTTCATCCAGAAGAGCTTTACTGCTACTGAAGGCAGATGAACAGAATGGCCACAAATCCAATACATTCAGGATTGGCCCTGTCCGTAAGAAATCCAGTTGCAGCAGACTTAACTTAAACTTACAATCAAGGTAAAGGGACCCCTGACCATTAGGTCCAGTCGTGGCCAACTCTGGGGTTGCAGTGCTCCTTTCGCTTTATTGGCCGAGGGAGCCGGCGTGCAGCTTCCGGGTCATGTGGCCAGCATGACTAAGCCTCTTCTGGCAAACCAGAGCAGCACACGGAAACACCGTTTACCTTCCCGCCGGAATGGTACCTATTTATTTACTTGCACTTTAACGTGCTTTCAAACTGCTAGGTGGGCAGGAGCCAGGGACTGAGCAACGGGAGCTCACCCCGTCGCAGGGATTCAAACCGCCAACCTTCTGATCAGCAAGTCCTAGGCTCTGTGGTTTAACCCACAGCGCCACCCGCTTCCTCTAAAACTTACAGTAACTTATAATAAGTCTAAAACTTAATACTATGTATAGAACACCACACCAGAAGGAAGAGAGATAGAGAAAGTGAAAACAAGGCTCCTTCTGGCCCTACAGTGGTACCTCAGGTTACAGACGCTTCAGGTTACAGACTCCGCTAACACAGAAATAGTACTTCGGGTTAAGAACTTTGCTTCAGGATAAGAACAGAAATCGTGCTTCGGCGGCACGGCAGCAGCAGCAGGCCCCATTAGTTCAAGTGGTGCTTCAGGTTAAGAACAGTTTCAGGTTAAGAACGGACCTCTGGAACGAATTAAGTACTTAACCCGAGGTACCACTGTACTTTTATAGTCAGCATGACCTTGTCAGAAGAGATAAGAGAACCACTTTAAGCCAGCTGCTGTACTCGGCTTCTCTGAAGGAATAACCCAAACATCATGAACTTCCTGCTTGTTTCTTTCACACAGAGAAGCTTCCGGAACCCTCTGGAATTAATTAGAATAGGAAAGATCTCTACGCATCAGATAAATACTACCTGTACTAAGAAGTGCAAACTGACAGTCACAAGGGCCCAGAAAAATCAGTGGTGCTTAGTTTGCAAACAGGTTGTTGAGATAGCACCCTTGGGTCTCTCGCCAGAGGGTGCTGTTGTTGTTTTTTACTTACCATATTTTCCCTGCTGAGGGCAAATACAAATTGAGCGGGCTGGGAGATAGGCTTGCATTTTGGTGTCCACAACCTTGTGTGAGTCGTGCAAAATTGTGGCATGTGTGAGGACACACACACACCAATCCCACAATAAAGGTCCCACTGGAAGCAGCCCAGGTGGGAAATGGGAAATTCAGGTTCCCATTCCTGAGTGAAGGAATGGTTTTCTGTGCAGTCAGTTTAAAACTGACTCGAACCTCCCCCCCTTTCTTCTTAGCATTTCTAAAATGCATAAACTTGAGCTCTTGAGCCAAAAGGCTCAGCTGTATAAACAAATGCTCAGAGCCCTCACCTTTATCAGTTTGTCACGGCAAGGAAAGCCTTGACTGTACCAGTAGAACAGAGAAGACACATCTGTGCCTTATCTTACGTCCTGACCACAAAAAATGCACAGACCCAGTCTGGGAAGAGCACCAGAGTGTGTTCTCAGAGATGGTGACCTCTTGCTCTAAGATAAGAGTAGGAACAGGAAGATCCTTTTATGGTCAGAAGTACAGGAGGTAATATCCTTTTATGGTTAAGAATACCAGAGCAGGAACATATGTGATGTCAACCTGCGTACATAGGCTGACGTGGTTGGATTCCTAGGGAAAGAGGGAGAGGGTGCCTGGAGGATATATATACTGCATGAAATTTCCTATTTCTTTGGACTTGCTGTGGACTGACCACGCAAGTGCCTTCTGCTATCCAGAGAGCAGAATAAACTCTTTCTTTGAACCAACCTCGGTGTCATTTGACTTCCTTCCTCCTGTCCGGGAGCAACGCAGACCCAATCGGTGAACTCCAATAAGGCTACATGAATTGCCAAAGTTGCAGCTGTCAGGAGCAGGTCAGCAATAAATCACACAGAGTAAATGAAGTTCACTGTTTCTGTTAGGAGAAGCAAGTTGCTCTCTACTGCCAGGCCTAGTGAGCGCAGCAACTCTTCCTGGCAGGTCTTGCCCCTGTGAGACTGAAGGTTGCTGCCTTCCCACAGCTGCCTAAGTCTCCTACCCTCCAGGGTCCTTGCAAAGCAATCTGAGACTGTGCCAATGCATCTGCCTGTGCTCCTCCCTCTTCATCCCTCTTCTGGTCCTGGGAGACCACAGGAGGCATGACCAGAATTCCTTGGGGGTTCCCCCGCTGGTTCTTCCCACCGTTTCTCTGCATTCCACCAGTCCATGGCAACACCTGAGCATTGTTTTTGGCTCTCCACACTTGAGAGATTAAGCGCTGTGATCCTCCCACCCAGGAATCGGCTACGACTTCAAGCGCCCCCTGTCTCAACTCCGGGAACTGCACCTCCGACGCTACAACCTCCGCAGGTCCGCCCTGGAGTTCTTCTTCATCGACCAGGCAAACTACTTCCTCAACTTCAAGAAAAAGGTAACAGCAGACGGGTACCTCTTCCTCCTCATCTTTTGATCTCCTAGTGGCAAAGGTAAAGGGACCCCTGACCATCAGGTCCAGTCGTGGCCGACTCTGGGGTTGCGGTGCTCATCTCGCTTTATTGGCCAAGGGAGCCGGCGTACAACTTCCGGGTCATGTGGCCAGCAGGACTAAGCCGCTTCTGGTGAACCAGAGCAGCGCACGGAAACGCCGTTTACCTTTCCGCCAGAGCGGTACCTATTTATCTACTTGCACTTTGACGTGCTTTCAAACTGCTAGGTTGGCAGGAGCAGGGACTGAGCAACGGGAGCTCACCCCGTCGCGGGGATTCGAACTGCCGACCTTCTGATCAGCAAGCCCTAGGCTCTGTGGTTTAACCCACAGCGCCACCCGCGTTCTAGTGGAGCACATATTAATTTATTTGCAAATGCACAGCTTCCGAGCACATTGCGAGAAGCAAAGCTACAGGGAACCAGGCAGAGGGCCTTCTTGGTGGTTGCACCCGCCCTGTGGAACACCCTCCCATCAGATGTCAAAGCGATAAACAACTACCTGACATTCAGAAGACATCTTAAGGCAGCCCTGTTCAGGGAAGTTTTTAATGTTTGACATCTTAGTGTATTTTTGGTCTCTGTGGAAGCTGCCCAGAGTGGCTGGGGAAACCCAGCCAGATGGGCGGGGTACAAATAATAAATTATTATTATTATTATTATTATTATTATTATTATTATTATTATTATTCTGCAGACTCAGCGCCCTTCTGTGAAAGTCACTCACTGGGTCGGCAGCTGATAATAACGTCGTGCTGGTTTTTCTGCCCTCTCTCTCCCAGGTCAGGAACAAGGTTTACTCTTCCATCCTGGGCCTCCGACCACCGAATCAGATCTATTTTGCCAGCCGCTCGCCGCAGGACTTGCTGAAAGCCTCGGGCTTGACTCAGGTGCTTAATTTAACATTGTCTTTTCATCACAAACAAATCTGATACTCACAGACACTCCTGATCGTTGAGAATGAAGGCAGGTGGTTTGCAAAGTTGGTCAGCCTTGCCTCCTGTTTTGGGAAGTTTTTAATGTTTGATTTTTTTTTCTTTATCTGGAAGTGGGGAGAAGGGAATGGGAATTTTTTTAAAAAAAATATTTACCATTCTGGCCCGTCCGTTTTGCCAGATCCTTACCAAACCCACTGTTTTATTTTCACCCTCCTTTTCCAGAAATGGGTTAACAGGGAGATCTCCAACTTCGAATACCTCATGCAGCTCAACACCATCGCAGGCCGCACCTACAACGACCTCTCCCAGTATCCCGTGGTAAGCGTCCGAGGGCAAACCTTTGCCCTTGAGCCTCAGGTGTTGCTTAAGACGGTTTTCTCTCCTGCTCCCACCCTCCCTGCAAACGCTGGATCCCGACATAGCTGTCAAGCGTCCCTTATTTGGCGGGAAACTCCCTTATCCCAGCGCCGTGTCCCGCTGCTGTCCCTTATTGAGGATGTCCCTTAAATTTCCTGGGTTTCAAAGGAAGCAGCTCCTCTCCCTCCCTCCCTGCCGGCCAGGGAGGAGGGAGGCTCCAGCTGTGTTGCTTGGCTGCGTTGCTCACCCAATAAGGAGTCTGAGAACGACTGGGGGGTGGAGCTTGCATGCCTTGTGCTGATCAAATCGGCCGCGTTGCCTGGGGACTCGCCTTTGCTCAGCGCTTCCCAGCGGAGAGGTGGCGGTGGTTTTCCTTGCTGCATCCCCTTTGCCGGGTTGCTGCGCTGTGGGAACCACCGCTTGAGGCTTCGTTTGGCTGCTGGCTGGGCTTTCTGCCTTTGGCTCGGAGGGGCTCAGAAGTTGAACATACCTGTGTTCGAAAATCCCTTATTTTGGCTGCTGATCCCTTATTTTCGAGGCTGCTGGTCCCTTATTTTCAAATCTGTAAGTTGACAGCTATGGATCCTGCAAGCAGGCAAAACCAGAGGCTCTCCTTTCTCTCCTCCCTTCAAGTTCCCGTGGATCCTGCAGGATTACATCTCGGAGACTCTGGATCTCAACAACCCCGCGGTGTTCCGGGATCTCTCCAAGCCCATCGGAGTCGCCAACGAGAGACACGCCAAGGATGTCAAAGAGAAGTGAGTGCAGAGTTTTCTTGGTGGCGTTGCAGCCTTCCGGGGACGGACTCAGCAGGGAAGGCAGGAAGCATCTCAGTGGAAGGAAAGAGACTTCTTTCCCTTGAGACAACATGGGAGTTGTAGTCCAAAGCCACTTGGAGGGCAAGCGACCGCTCTGGGCTTTTGCTTCTCTGCAATCCGCCTCTCCTCCCGACGGTCTCTTTAGCCTTTCCCTTCCCTAGTAGCCTTACCTTTGCATCAGTTTCTTCCCTCTCCCAGCTCTGCCAACCCTAGCAAATTGCAGGAAGGTCAGAATCACGGCTGGGCGAAAAGAGGGATGATTTAACTCTGTCCCCCTCGCTATGGTCCATAGAGAAAGTGCTTTCATCTCAACATTTGAGATAATAATAATACAGTGGTACTTTGGTTCTCAAACTTAATCCCTTCTGGAAGTCCGTTCCAAAACCAAAGCGTTCCAAAACCAAGGCGTGCTTTCCCAAAGAAAGCAATGCAAAACGGATTAATCCGTTCCAGACATTTAAAAACAACCCCTAAAACATAAATTTAACATGACTTTTACTATCTTAACGAGACCATGGATCCATAAAATGAAAGCAATAAACAATGTACTGCAGTCACACAATCAATCAGTAGCTGAACTGGGCTCCACACAGTCACAGAAACAAAACAAAAAGAGCCACAAAAACACAGAATAAATAGCAAAAACAGACTTCAGCGTAACGCTCAAAACGGAGCACGGGTGGCACTCAAAACGGAAGCATAAGACACAAATCGGAAGTGTAACACTCAAAATGGAGCACGTTTGGCTTCTGAAAAAAGTTCGCAAACCGGGATACTTACTTCCGGGTTTGCAGTGTTTGGGTTCCAAGTTGTTTGAGTACCAAGGCATTTGAGACCCAAGGTACTGTAGTGGTAGTAGTAGTAGTAGTAGTAATATCCCACCCACCTGGCTGGGTTTCCCCAGCCACTCTGGGCAGCTCCCAACAGAACATTAAAAACACGGTAAAAGATCAAACATTAAAAGCTTCCCTAAACAGGGCTGCCTTCAGATGTCTTCTAAGTCAGGTAGTTGTTTATTTCCTTGACATCTGACAGGAGGGTGTTTCACACAGCGGGCGCCACCACCTAGAAGGCCCTCTGCCTGGTTCCCTGTAGCTTTGCTTCTTGCAGGGAGGGAACCGCCAGAAGACCCTCGGCACTGGACCTCAGTGTCCGGGCAGAACGATGGAGGTGAAGACGCTCCTTCAGGTATACTGGACCGAGGCCGTTTAGGGCTTGAAAAGTCAGCACCAACACTTTGAATTGTGCTCAGAAACATACTTGAAGCCAATGTAGGTCTTTCAGGACTGGGGTTATACGGTTTCAGAAAGGGGACTAGGAAAGGGGAGCTGCTCAGTAAGGGGAATTTCTCAAAGCAGAAAAGCAGTGACCGAGTTGTGCTAAATCACATGTGTCATTTCGGAACCACCATTGGCGAAAATGCCTCTTGGTGTGTTTGTGGCTGGGGAGTTATTGCCTTGCTTTTGTTCTGTTTTGAATTTTGTGTTCCTGTGTTGTACCTTTACGATGTGAACCGTCCCACGACCTTTGGATGAAGGGTAGTATACAGTTGTTGTTGCTGGTCCTGAATGGGGTGACTGTGCCCCTGAAGGACAAGGTGCGCAGCCTGGGAGTCATTCTGGACTCACAGCTGTCCATGGAGGCGCAGGTTAATTTTGTGTCCAGGGCAGCTGTCTACCAGCTCCATCTGGTATGCAGGCTGAGACCCTACCTGCCCACGGACTGTCGCCAGAGTGGTGCATGCTCTAGTTATCTCCTGCTTGGACTACTGCAATGTGCTCTACGTGGGGCTACCTTTGAAGGTGACCCAGAAACTACAACTAATTCAGAACGTGGCAGCTAGACTGGTGACTGGGGGCAGCCGCCGAGACCACATAACACCGGTCTTGAAAGACCTACATTGGCTCCCAGTACATTTCCGAGCACAATTCAAAGTGTTGGTGCTGACCTTGAAAGCCCTAAATGGCCTCGGTCCAGTAGACCTGAAGGAGCGTCTCCACCTCCATCGTTCTGCCCGGACGCTGAGGTCCAGCGCCAAGGGCCTTCTGGCGGTTCCCTCATTGCGAGAAGCAAAGCTACAGGGAACCAGGCAGAGGGCCTTCTCGGTGGTGGCCCCCGCCCTGTGGAACACCCTCCCTTCAGATGTCAAAGCGACAAACAACTACCTGACATTCAGAAGACATCTTAAGGCAGTCCTGTTCAGGGAAGTTTCTAATGTGTGACATTTTAGTGTATTTTTGGTCTTTGTGGAAGCTGCCCAGAGTGGCTGGGGAAACCCAGCCAGATGGGCAGGGTACAAATAATAATAATAATAATATCTTTATTGTCATTGCCCCCTTCGGGGACAACAAAATTACTTAATAATAAATTGTTGTTAATAATAAATTGTTGTTGTTGTTGTTGTTGTTGTTGTTCTGTCTGCCATCTGGGAGTCACCGCACAGACTTGAGTTCTGCTCTTTCCGGCTTTGCCATTCTGCCCGCAGGTACGAGAGCTTTGAGGATCCCACGGGCATGATTGACAAGTTCCACTACGGCACCCACTACTCCAATGCGGCCGGCGTCATGCACTACCTGATCCGCACGGAGCCTTTCACTACTCTGCATATCCAGTTGCAAAGCGGGAGGTGAGTGAAAGCAAGCCAGCCACGGAAAAGAAGACTTCTCCCTTTCTGCTCCTCCAGTAAACACACGCAGACATGATGGCCAAGGCCTTCCTTATCCTTTGCTCATTTCCCTTCTCGTCATATGGGCACTTAGTGTCATGGAATTCTACTCAATATTGATCCAGAGCAGAACTCCAACGTATGGTGGTGGTGGTTGTTGTTTAGTCGTGTCCGACTCTTGGTGACCCCCTGGACCAGAGCACGCCAGTGTCTTCCACTGCCTCCCGCAGTTTGGTCAGACTCATGTTTGTAGCTTTGAGAACACTGTCCAACCATCTCGTCCTCTGTTGCCCCCTTCTCCTTGTGCCCTCCATCTTTCCCAGCATCCGTGTCTTCTCCAGGGAGTCTTCTCTTCTCATGAGGTGGTCAAAGTATTGGAGCCTCAGCTTCAGGATCTGTCCTTCCAGTGAGCACTCAGGGCTGATTTCCTTCAGAATGGAGAGGTTTGATCTCCTTGCAGTCCATGGGACTCTCAAGAGTCTCCTCCAGCACCAGAATTCAAAAGCATCCATTCTTTGGCGATCAGCCTTCTTTATGGTCCAGCTCTCACTTCCATACATCACTACTGGGAAAACCATAGCTTTTACTATACGGACCTTTGTTGGCAAGGTGCTGTCTCTGCTTTTTAAGATGCTGTCTAGGTTTGTCATTGCTTTTCTCCCAAGAAGCAGGCGTCTTTCAATTTCGTGGCTGCTGTCACCATCTGCAGTGATCATGGAGCCCAAGAAAGTAAAATCTCTCACTGCCTCCATTTCTTCCCCTTGACGTATGGTTAGCAGAGTAAAAACTTAAACATGTTGCAGGATCCCCCCAAAATAGACCAGAGGCAATTGTATTTCATCCAGCAGAGCTTTACTGCTACTGAAGGCAAATAAGGATAACGGTCGCAAATCCAATACATTCAGGATTGTCCCTGTCCATCAGAAATCCAGTTGCAGCAGACTTGACTTAAACTTGTACTATGTACAGAACACCACACCAGAAGGAAAACAGAGAGAAAGTGAAACCTTCTCGCTTACTTTTATAGTCAGCATGACCTTGACTGAAAGATAACAGAAGCAGCTGTACAGTGGTACCTAGGGAGGCGGGTGGCGCTGTGGGTTAAACCACAGAGCCTAGGACTTGCCGATCCGAAGGTCAGCGGTTCGAATTCCCGCAATGGGGTGAGCTCCTGTTGCTCGGTCCCTGCTCCTGCCAACCTAGCAGTTCAAAAGCACATCAAAGTGCAAGTAGATAAATAGGTACTGCTCCGGCGGGAAGGTAAATGGCATTTCTGTGCGCTGCTCTGGTTCGCCAGAAATGGCTTAGTCCTGCTGGCCACATGACCCGGAAGCTGTACGCCGGCTCCCTCGGTCAATAAAGCAAGATGAGTGCCGCAACCCCATCCGCAACTGGACCTAATGGTCAGGGGTCCCTTTACCCTTTACTTTTACAGTGGTACGTTGGGTTACAGAAGCTTCAGGTTACAGACTCCGCTAACCCAGAAATAGTACCTCGGATTAAGAACTTTGCTTCAGGGTAAGAACAGAAATCGCTCCGTGGCGGCAGCAGGAGGCCCCATTAGCTAAAGTAGTACCTCAGGTTAAGAACAGTTTCGGGTTAAGAACAGACCTCCAGAATGAATTAAGTTCTTAACCCGAGGTACCACTGTACTCAGCTTCTCTGAAGATATAACCCAAACATCACGAACCTTCTGCTTCTTTCTTTCACACAGAGAAGCTTCCGGAACCCTCTGTAATTAATTAGAATAGGAAAGATCTCTACACATCAGATCAATAACTTTTTGCACTAGGAAATGCAAACTGACGCATTACTGCATAGGAACCAGGAATGTGCCTCTCTGCCCATTTTGACAAGGCGGTGGTGGCCGCCGACTTGGGACGGCTTTAGCGGAGAGGATCGGACAAATTCCAACCCTGCAACCTTGCGATTCAATCTCCTCTCGCTCTTACGCCGGCAGGTTTGACTGCTCCGACCGCCAGTTTCACTCCGTCCCCGCCGCCTGGCAAGCCCGCATGGAAAACCCCGTGGACGTGAAGGAGCTGATCCCGGAATTCTTCTACTTTACGGACTTCCTGGAGAACCAAAACAGTAAGCGTTCCTCTCCTGGGCTGGTTCAGATTCCTGGGCCATCTGGGCTGCCGGTTCTGCTGGCTGACAGGGACCAGGCAGATTCCGCAGAGGGGTTCACCAGCAGGAGATAAGTCACCATCCTTTTGCGGCCAAGTATTTGGAGAGGGCTTGTATCCAAAGATGGAGTCAGAAGATCCCAAGTTCAGTCCCTGTAATCGCCAGGCAGGGCCGGGTCAGGCCTCTCTTATCCTCCATTTAACGTTGGGATCTGGCTGTAAAATGGGTCTTTTCAGAGTTTGCCCAAGGGGGGAGAGAAGGATACTCCTTGCCCCGAAGCTGGTGAGGATGCTTCAAAACCTCTCCCCCCCCTGCCTTGCTCTGCAAATCTGGCCTACCGTATTTTCGCTCCATAAGACGCACCTGACCATAAGACGCACCTAGTTTTTAGAAGGGGAATGCAAGGAAAAAATATGCTTTAAATGGAGCGCTGAGCAGAGCCTGTATGCATCCCAGGCTCTGCTCAGCGCTCCCTTTCACGAGCCACGTGGAGCATGTGTGTGGCGCTTGCAGACTTTTCCCCGAGGAGGGAGAAGGGCAGCCCGTCACTGATGGGTTGCCCTCCTTCTTCCTCAGGGAAAAGCCCCCAAGAGCCGCACACACGCTTCGCGCAGCTCTTTAAAGGGCGCGTGGCTCTTGCTGGCTTTTCCAGGAGGTGGGGGAAGGGACTGAGGGGCTGCCGTGCTCCCTTTAAAGAGTGTGTGGAGTGTGGAGAAGGGCAGCCCTTCTCCCTCCTCGGGGAAAAGCCCCCAAGAGCCGCACACACACTCCAGGCAGCTCTTTAAAGGGAGCGCTGAGCAGAGCCTCCCGCCTGCAGTCGCTCCATAAGACGCACACACATTCCCCCTTACTTTTAGGAGGGGAAAAGTGCGTCTTATAGAGCAAAAAATACGGTATGTCTTCTCCCTTAAGTGGGTAAACAGAGATCAAGGGGAGACGTCAGGGACCGCCAGTAAGATGCATAACTTTGTAGTAACGAGTCCCATAGGTTGATCATGCCGTGTGTAAGTTGCTGGTCCTTGACTCAGGAAATCGGAAGTGTGGTTTGCAAAAGGGGAGCTAAGGTGGGGTTTTTTTTGGGGGGGGGAAAGCTGGTTTTGGCTGCCTGCTCTACACATTTTCCCTCCCTTTAGGCTTTGATCTAGGCTCCCTGCAGATGTCGAATGAGAAAGTGGGAGACGTCGTCCTTCCCAGATGGGCCAAATCCCCAGAAGATTTCATCCACAAGCACCGTAAAGCCCTGGTAAGAGGAGGCAGGCAGGGCGGGATGGAGAGGGGGGAAGATTTTATTGCTATAAATAATAATAAAAAGGTAAAGGGACCCCTGACCGTTAGGTTCAGTCGTGGCGACTGTGGGGTTGCGGCGCTCATCTCGCTTTATTGGCCAAGGGAGCCGGCATACAGCTTCTGGGTCATGTGGCCAGCATGACTGAGCCACTTCTGGCGAACCAGACCAGCGCACGGAAACGCCGTTTACCTTCCTGCCAGTTTGGTATCCTATTTATCTACTTGCACTTTGACGTTCTTTCGAACTGCTAGGTTGGGCAGGAGCAGGGACCGAGCAACGGGAGCTCACCCCGTCATTGCGGGGATTCGAATGCCGACCTTCTGATCGGCAAGTCCTAGGCTCTGTGGTTTAACCCACAGCGCCACCCACGTCCATTATTATAAATAATAATAATACCCTCCTTTTCCTTTAGTTTCAACTAAGCCCAAATGCTTTAATTGCTGAGGGCAAGTTGCTGAGAGTCGAGGGCTGTTCTGTATCATCTTTTCTGAGGCCATTTCATTCTGGCTGTAGTTAGGGAAATAAAGTACGCAACATGCCCTTTTTCAAACAGTTAGCGACGCACTTTTATTAAATTCCTTCTTTTCAGTCTCACACAAAGGACACCTCGGCATCTTAGCGATATGCAAATCCATTTTAAAATTTTAAAATCCGCTGAAACTGATCAGCAGAATGACTTGGGAGGGGAACCCTGCTTTTTCCCTCGTGAAGCGGGTCTAGGACCCTCGTACCTACGGGACCGCCTCTCCTGGTATGTCCCACGGAGGACCTTACGGTCTTCAAACAAAAACATCTTGGAGGTCCCGGGCCACAGGGAAGTTAGCTCTGAGCCCAGCTTCGGGGGAGAGCGGGATATAAATAAAATTTTATTATTATTTATTATTATTTGCAAAACAAACAAAAATATGCAGAAAGTTTCAAGTTTACTTGCCGTGTCTCTGCATTTTAGTTACGACGGTACCCTGGTTTTCAAACAGAATGCGTTCCAGGAGTCCGTTCGACTCCCGGGACCATTCAAAAACCAAAGCGCGGCTTCCGATTGGCTGCAGGAGCGTCCTGCAGCAGCCAATCAGAAGCCATGCTGGACGTTTGGCTTCTGAAAATCATTCGAAAACCGGAACACTCACTTCCGTGTTTCGATCGTTCGGGAGCCGATTTGTTTGGAAGCCAAGGCGTTCGGCTTCCAAGGTACGGCGGTATTTGTATCTGAGCAGATTGCGCCCCGGGAAAAGCGGTGGTGTTCTTTTTTAATGGTTGGGTGGCGTGCAAGCAGGCCTGTGCTGTGCTTTGACCTCATCGTCGTCCCCTTGTGTCTGTGCCAGGAGTCAGAGTACGTGTCTGCCCACCTCCATGAGTGGATTGACTTGATCTTTGGGTACAAACAGCGGGGACCAGCCGCTGTGGAAGCGCTGAACGTCTTCTATTACTGCACATATGAAGGTAAGGTGGGACCTCGTTGCCATCTGATGATCTGCACATTTGATGATCTCCTTCTACTGGTCCACAATAGAAAGTGTCCTTTCATACTGCATCACGGTGTGGGACGCTGGTTTGACATCATCTGATAGGAAGTGCCTACAGAGGGTGGTGAATACAGCACAAGATATTATGGGCTGTTCCGTGAATCTGCTGGATGAAATAGCGGAATAACGTTGCCTCAGGAGAGTGAGGAAAATTCTCAGGGATGATTCACACCCTGGCCGGCACTTTCTTGATCTCCTGCCCTCGGGCAGAAGATATAGAAGCATGATTAGTTGCACCCAAAGGGTAAAGAACAGCTTCTATCCGTGGGCTGTTAGGCTGCTGAATGAAAAGATAACAACAGGGCAACTGACTTTCGGGTTTGGTGGGTGTGCGTCAGTAAACGAGGGGAATTAAGACTAAGAGAGCGGAGTGGGGGGTGCTCGTGTCATCTCACTGTATACAAGTTGTACAAATGACAACAAAGTACAGTGGTGCCTCGCAAGACGAAAAGAATCTGTTCCGCAATTCTCTTCGTCTAGCGGTTTTTTCGTCTTGCGAAGCAACCCCATTGCGAAGCAACCCCTAAGAGGATTAGCGCTATTAGCGGTTTAGCGGCTATTAAAGGATTAGCGGCCAAGCTGCTAAAAGGCTATTAGTGGCTTAGCGGCTTAGAAAAAAGGGCAAAAAAGCGGGGGGGAATGGCGAGACTCGCAAGACGTTTTCGTCTTGCGAAGCAAGCCCATAGGGAAATTGGTCTTGCGAAGCGCATCACAAACGGAGAACCCTTTCGTCTAGCGGGTTTTCCGTCTTGCGAGGCATTCGTCTTGCGGGGCACCACTGTATTTCAATTTCAATCTGTTGCATCAGGTTGGGCTAGAAGACCTCAGGGGTTTTTCTAACTCTTTGATTCTGTGCGTACGTATCGGGGTAGTACCTCGGGTGGGAGACACGTCATGTTCCTTCGAGGGTAGTCTGTCTCACCTGGGGCTCCTAGAAACTGTCTACATGCAACAGCGGCTACAATCCCAGGAAATGGCTTTGACAGGCCGGCTAAACCAGGTGAGGGGAGCCAATGGGGCTCAAACCCTCGCTGAGTTGGGAATTTTCCCTAAATACAAAAACAGGCAGTGGCACATAGAGCGGATGAGACCAAGCATGGGTCCAACGGTCAATGCACTCTATGTGGGGCTACCTTTGAAGATGACTCGGAAGCTACAACTAATCCAGAATGCGGCAGCCAGACTGGTGACTGGGAGCAGCCACCAAGACCATATAACACCCGTCTTGAAAGACCTACACTGGCTCCCAGTATGTTTCCGAGCACAATTCAAAATGTTGTTGCTGACCTTGAAAGCCCTAAACGGCCTCGGCCCAGTATACCTGAAGGAGCGTCTCCACCTCCATCGTTCAGCCCAGACACTGAGGTCCATCTCCGAGGGCCTTCTGGCAGTTCCCTCACTGCAAGAAGCCAAATTACAGGGAACAAGGCAGAGGACCTTCTCAGTAGTGGCACCCGCCCTGTGGAACACCGTTCCATCAGAAGTCAAGGAAATAAACAACTGTCTGACTTTTAGAAGACATCTGAAGGCAGCCCTGTTTAGCTTTTAATGTTTGAAGTTTTATTCTCCTTTTAGTGTTCTGTTGGGGGCCACCCAGAGTGGCTGGGGAAACCCAGCCAGGTGGGCAGGGTATAAATAATAAAATTATTATTATTATTATTATTATTTATTAGAGAAGGCAGTTTTTGCATGGTCTGCAGAGGGAAGCGAGGGGCAGATAGGGCTCATCCACCAGGTGGGCAGGGTACTATTATTATTATTATTATTATTATTATTATTATTATTATTATTAATAATAATAATAATAATAATAAAGGCAGTTTTTGCATGGGTAGGCAGAGGGAAGTGAGGGGCAGATGGGCTGGGAAGGGAGCCCATCTAGGAGAAGGAAAACTCTGACCCTAAACCTCCGCTGCCTTGTGGGATATCTTCGGGAGAAGGAAAGGGTCAGGAGCCAACCCTACTCCAATCTGGAGTGGAGTCCCTAACTGCTGCATCTTGCAGGCCACAGGTCCCCCAGCCCTGATTTACACCACACTTTGTATGTCCCTCATGCCACCCGATATTTATTTCAGGGGCAGTTGACCTGGATGCCATCGCCGACGAGACCCAAAGGAAGGCTCTGGAGGGCATCATCAGTAACTTTGGGCAGACCCCCTGCCAGCTGCTGAAGGTAGGAGGAGCCGTCAAGGTGTCTTGCGGATTTTTGCCCAGAAGGCAATTGGGGGGGGGGGACGACACACACATGACCTGTAGGCAGGTGGCCATTTTGCAAGGCCCAGGTGGAAGATGGCAGAAGGCGGGCAACGCCCTGGTTTGCATTTCTCTGCTTCTCTTTCTCGTTGAAAATAGGGTCTGTTTTTAAATTTCACACACCGCTTACAGCTTCTGTTTCAGATTTATTTCATTGCTGGTATATCCCACATTTTTAAGTACCTCAAGGGGGTGTACACAGTTGTCCCCCCCTCCCCATTTTCACCCCACAACAACCCCGCGAAGTAGGTGAGGCTGAGAAGCCGTGACGGGCCCAAGGTCACCCAGTGCGCTTTGTGGCTGAGGGAGGATTCGAACCCAGCTCTCTCCCAGGTCCTAGCCTGACACTGACAGCAGCGCCATACCCAATTTGCAACAGCAGAATGGGGGGGGGGGAGTGTTGGTGGTTTAATGCGCCATTGACGGCTTTTAATAATAATATATTTAATGTATTTTTAATCTTTTGTTATAAGCCGTCCAGAGTGGCTGGGGAAATAATAATAATAATAATAATAATAATAATAATTATTATTATTATTATTATTATTATTATTATTATTATTATTATTATCACCCCGCCCACTCTGGACGGCTTCCAACAAAAGATTAAAAATACATTAAAATATCATTTTGGCTGCTTGGCTTTCCCCACATGGATATGTCTTGGCATGTCAGCCTACGAAATGATCTGTGGAAAGCCCCCTCCTGCCTTCATCACTGTGTTCCCCATAGTGTTAACCACCTTTTCATCTCATGGGGTGTGTGGATTGTAAAGGTAAAGGGACCCCTGACCATTAGGTCCAGTCGTGACCGACTCTGGGGTTGCGGTGCTCGTCTCGCTTTATTGGCCGAGGGAGCCGGCATACAGCTTCCAGATCATGTGGCCAGCATGACTAAGCCGTTTCTGGCGAAACCAGAGCAGCGCACGGAAACGCCGTTTACCTTCCCGCTGGAGTGGTACCTATTTCTCTACTTGCACTTTGACGTGCTTTCGAACTGCTAGGTTGGCAGGAGCAGGGACCGAGCAACAGGAGCTCACCCCGTCGCGGGGATTCGAACCGCCGACCTTCTGATCGGCAAGTCCTAGGCTCTGTGGTTTAACCCACAGCACCACCCGTGTCTTGTGTGGATTGTACAGGACAGCAAATAGGCGGGGCCCATAAGAAACCGAGGTTTGACACATAAAGTTAAATAGGGTGCAACATGCCACTATCCTGTTTGAAATATCCTGCTCCCTCCCTCCTGTAGGAGCCCCATCCGGCCCGGCTCTCTGCCGAAAACGCAGCGTCCAAGAGAGTCTCTCGCCTGGACACCATCCCCCCCAATGTCTTTGAGAACCTCAGTGAGCTGAAGTCCTTCTTTGCTGAAGTAAGTCTATTTCCTCCAGGGTGTGGTTTTGTGTGTCCACGTGTAGAATACAGTTGTACCTCATGTCACGTCTGCTTCATGTGACGTTCTTTCAAGTTACGTCCCGCAGTGACCCGGAAGCACCGGAAAGGATTTCTTCCGGGTTTCGCCGCTCGCGCATGCGCAGAAGTGCAAAATGATGTCACGCACATGCGCAGAAGCGGCAAATCGCAACCCACGCGTGTGCAGACGCGCCGCTGCGGGTTGCGCTATTTTCATGTTGCGAATGGGCCTTCGGAACGGATCCTGTTCGCAGCCAGAGGTACCGCTGTAAATGGATATTCGCACACGCAAACACACCGCAGTTCAAGAAGGGCGTTGACAAGTTGGAACACGCACACAGAAGGGCAACCAAGTGGATCAAGGGTCTGGAAACCACGCCTGATGAGGAACGGTCGAAGGAACTGGGGATGCTTAGCCCGGGGAAGAAGAGAAGACTTGAGAGGTGATATGAGAGCCATCTTTAAATATCTGAAGGGCTGCTTTCTCCTGTTCCCGGAGGGTGTGACTCGAACCAGCGACTTCAAGTTACAAGAACAGAGATTCCATCTCAACATCAGGAAGAGCTTTCTGATGGCAAGAGCTGTTCGGCAGGGGAACAGACCCCCACAAGAAGTGGTGGGCTCTCCTTCCTCGGAGGTTTTTAAGCAGAGGTTGGGTGGCTGTGGATGCTTTAGTTTGAGATTCCTGCGTTGAAAGGGGGTTGGACTAGATGACCGTTGAGTGCCCCTCAATTGTATGATACGTATGAAAGGGCATGGACACCCACCTATCTACTCCTACTTCCTTTCCTTTCCCAGAGCGAGGCTGGAGGTGGGTGTGTTCCTTTTCTGTAGCTGGTGGTGGGGAATTGTCACAAAGGCGGGAACCATAACACAGCACAGATTTTGCCGAAACCAAGCGGCAAAGCGCAGTGACTCGTCTCATCCTTTTTTCAGAGCATCAGTGATGGGATCCCCCTGGTCCAGGCCGTGGTCCCCAAAAACCAAGCCCACTCCTTCATGACTCAGGGATACCCCGATATGCTGGTAGGTTCAAAATAATAATAATAATAATAATAATAATAATAATAATAATAATAATAATAATAATAATAATAATAAATTTATTATTTGTACCCCGCCCATCTGGCTGGGTTTCCCCAGCAACTCTGGACGGCTTCCAACCGAATATTAAAAACAATACAGCGTCAGACATTAAAAACTTCCCTAAACAGTTGTCTTTTAAAAGTAAAATAGTTTTATTGCCTCGACTTCTGCTGGGAGGGCGTTCCACAGGGCGGGGGCCACCACCGAGAAGGCCCTCCGATCAGACAACTGATGCTTTTCTCCCAAGGCCTCCTTGCAGGGGGGTTGGAGTAGATGACATTTGGGGGGTCCCCTTCCAACTCTGCAACAATTCTACGGCTCTTTGGGTGGGCATCCCCTTGTCCTAGGAAGGATGCTGCGATTCCTGTTTGCCCTCTTCCTTCCCCATCTCCCCTTCATCGCCGTGAGCTGCCTTCCTGCCTCTCTTATTGACTAATCTGCCCCCCTCCCAACAACTTCTTCCAGGTCACTGTCAGTGCCAACGGGCTACTAGGCACGCACGGCTGGCTGCCGTACGACAAGAACATCTCCAACTATTTCAGCTTCACCAAAGACCCCACCGTCTCCAACGCAAAGTGAGTCTGGGCTTCGCTCCCACCTTGTTGCGAATTCTCTGCGACGCTTTAGCAGAAATGCTCAGAGTTCCAGGTTCTTCGGCACAGTATATTTATCCTGAGCTATATATACAAATGGGGGGACGCGGGTGGTGCTGTGGGTTAAACCACAGAGCCTTGGGCTTGCCGATCAGGTCGGCGGTTCGAATCCCCGCGACGGGGTGAGCTCCCGTTGCTTGGTCCCTGCTCCTGCCAACCTAGCAGTTTGAAAGCACGTCAAAGTGCAAGTAGATAAATAGGTACCACTCCGGCGGGAAGGTAAACGACGTTTCCGTGCGCTGCTCTGGTTCGCCAGAAGTGGCTTAGTCATGCTGGCCACATGACCCAGAAGCTGTACGCTGGTTCCCTCGGCCAATAAAGCGAGATGAACGCCGCAACCCCAGAGTCGGCCACAACTGGACCTAATGGTCAGGGATCCCTTTATGCTTTACCTTTAGGGCACTGCAGCAGGGGACGCGGTGGCGCTGGGGTTAAACCACAGAGCCTAGGACTTGCCGATCAGAAGGTCGGCGGTTCGAATCCCCTGACGGGGTGAGCTCCCATTGCTCGGTCCCTGCTCCTGCCAACCTAGCAGTTTGAAAGCACGTCAAAGTGCAAGTAGATAATTAGATACCGCTCTGGCGGGAAGGTAAGCGGCGTTTCTGTGGGCTGCTCTGGTTCGCCAGAAGTGGCTTAGTCATGCTGGCCACATGACCCGGAAGTTTGGCAGAGTACATCTGTCTCTCTTTCTCCCTCCCTCCTGCTAGGACCCAGCGCTTCCTGTATGGACCCGTTGCTCCAGGGGTGGAAGTGTCCTCCAAGACGCTGACGGTCTCTCACGACGGGAAGCTCCTCTTCAGCGGAGGCCACTGGGACAACAGCTTGCGGGTGACGTCCCTCAGCCGAGGGAAGGTTGTGGGACACATCAACAGGCACATAGGTAGGGGGCCACGACTCGCGGGAAGAGAGACTCCCTTCTGAAAATCGCAAGGAATCGAAGAACAGAGCATGCTGAACGTCTAAATGCCAGCGTATTATTTTCCTCCTCGAGTGAAGGCTCTGGCACCCTGAGAGTTGCTGCTTCCCTTTCCTTCTGTCTTCAGTCTTAAAAGGGCATGTTTTCAGTCCTCGTAGCTACGGAGAGAAGAGAATGAAAACATCCAAGTGCTATTTCCTTCCTTTTCTGTGAAGCTTCTTTCCCGCAATTTGAAAACCTTAAATAATTTTGAAAGCATGCCTGAGGGACTTCAAGCTTAACTAACCACTGAAAAGCTATCATTTATGTACTAATTCTAGCAAATGCATGCTAACGGAGAAGGGAAGGAGGATTTTCAGACGAGCAGTTCCCATAATTCCAATAGTATTATTGTTCTGTTACCTCTTCCTAGAGTTTCTTTCCCATTTTGTTCACTGAAAGTTCGAAGAATATCATCCTAGTGGCTAAACTGGTTGTTCTTCTTTGTTTCCTGTCTTTAAAGGCATCTTACTATTGCGTCCCTGACACACTCCTTTTCTGCCTGCGGGGAGTTGTCCTTGAATGCTCCTCCATTTGTACATATGTACCGTATTTTCCGGCGTATAAGACGACTGGGTGTATAAGACGACTTTTCCAGTTAAAATATAGAGTTTGGGATATACTCACCGTATAAGACCACCCCTCTTCCAACACACACCAAATAAAAATTATAAAAACCAGTCTCCAGTCCGGCTCGGAAATCCGCTCCACTTCCTAGGGGGGGGGGTGGTGGCCAGGTCCGTTTAAACAGAGGAGTGAGCTGGAGGGCTTCCTCTTTGGCTCGCTTCCTCAATCGCTAGGACGTCGCTGAACTTCGCTCGGTTATTGCTTTTGTCGGACCTGCTGAACATTTTGGGGGGATTTTTTACTGCTTTTGTTGAGCCTCTCTCGTGGAATTTGCTAGTGGTCTAGTACCGGGAGCGGTTAGGGTCGTTCTGTTGCTGGTGATTGGGGGGGTGGGCTTCTGAGGCTAATTTTCAATCGTATTTCTGCTTCATCTAGAGAGCTAGGCGTCCTCTGATTTAATTTGCTGTTGTTTTGTCCTTTGCTGGGGAGTTGCTGCAGGACTGCTGCCGGAGCCGGTGTATAAGACAACCCCCGACTTTTGAGAAGATTTTCCTGGGTTAAAAAGTAGTCTTATACGCCAAAAAAGACAGTACAGTGGTGCCCCGCAAGACGAATGCCTCGCAAGACGGAAAACCCGCTAGACGAAAGGGTTTTCCGTTTTGGAGGCGCTTCGCAAAACGAATTTCCCTATGGGCTTCCTTCGCAAGACGAAAGCCCATAGGGAAATCTCCGGGACAGCGGGGAAGCGCAGCGCGTCTTCCCCGCTGTCCTCGGACCTCCTCCGAAACCTGGCGGCGGGGCGGGGACACCTCCTCCCGCCGCCCGGCTTCGGAAGGCTGCTCCGAAGCCTGGCGGCGGGGCGGGGACACCTCCTCCCGCCGCCCGGCTTTGGAAGGCTGCTCTGAAGCCTGGCGGGGGGGCGGTGAGACCTTCTCCCCGCACCAGCCTTCAGATGGCTGTCCTGAAGACTTGGGGTGGGAGGAGGGTTTTCCTTCCCACCGCCAACATTCAGAATGCTGTTCTGAATGTTGGCGGTGGGGAGGAAAAACCCTCCTCCCACGCAAGCCCCGGGAACAGAGGAAAAGCGCTGCGCCCCTTCCCCTCTGTTCCCGTACCTGTCCTGAAGGCTTGCGGTGGGGAGAAAAGCCCTTCTCCCCACCGCCAGCCTGGCAAGCGGTTTCCATAGGAACGCATTAATTGATTTTCAATGCATTCCTATGGGAAACCGTGCTTCGCAAGACGAAAAACTCGCAAGAAGAAAAAACTTGCGGAACGAATTAATTTCGTCTTGCGAAGCACCACTGTATATATGTCTATCCCCTGCATGTAGATAAGGTAACTACTGGGGACCGTTATCTGCGTGTTTCTGTTTTGGTGATCCCCTTCTCCTCTCCCTGCAGACGTCGTCACTTGCCTGGCCTTAGATCTGTGCGGAATCTACCTCATATCCGGGTCACGGGATACCACCTGCATGGTTTGGCAGGTCCTGCAGCAGGTAAGAGGAGGGTTGCACTGGATGACCGTCCCAGCTCTATGGTTCTGAGAGATTCTGTTGACGGCCTCGTTTTCTCCTCTCCCCCAGGGTGGCTTCTCCTGTGGCCTGGCACCCAAGCCCGTCCAGGTCCTCTACGGGCACGACGACGAAGTCACGTGCGTCGCCATCAGCACCGAGTTGGACATGGCCGTCTCGGGGTCAAAGGTGAGCCGTCTGCATGTGCCTTCCGGGCTGGACGCGCCTTTTCTGGATCTCCTGTGGGAGTACCGCTTAGCAGGGACCTCATTCTTGTCCGCGGCCTCCTTCCGGTACACACGCAGTTGAACCCAGAAGATTCTGATGACAAGAGGCAGAAGGGTGTCTAGGAGCCTCACAAAGGCTTGGGCCAAATCTATGCTTCCAGGTGCCACAAGAAAGCTGCAGAGATAGCGCAGGATAGTGCGCACCCCAGAAATGATCTCTTTCAGCTTCTGCCTTCTTGAAGAAGGTCCAGGGTTATAAAGACTAGGACTAGCCGCCTGAGAAACAGTTTCTACCCAAAGGCAATTCTGGTTTTAAACGCAGTATAAGGAGTCTCTACAGGAATATATTGTATTTTAAAATTGCAGAGTTTTTAGGGGTTTTTGAATGTCTTATGTAGATTTTTCATTGTTCTGTATGGGGCAATGACAATAAAGGTATCATATCGTATTGGATAGTTGGCCTTGGTGAAGATTTGACGTTTTCATCCCCCAAAAGTTTTTGATTTGAGTTTCTACTGAAATGAGGCTGCATTTTAATGTTGTATTTTAATCTTCTTTTTAACTTGTATTTTAATCAATTATTTTTATATCTGGTGTTAGTCGCCCTGAGCCCGGTCTTGGCTGGGGAGGGCGGGGTATAAATAAAAATTATTATTATTATTATTATTATTATTATTATTATTATTATTATGCGCTCTCTTTCTCTCTCCCTGCGTTCCCTTCCTTGGCATCCTTCTCATCGCGGAAAACTTTCTCTTCTTCCAGGACGGCACCGTCATCGTGCACACCATCCGCCGAGGCCAGTTCATGCAGTCGCTAAGGCCTCCCTGCGAGAGCTCCTTGCCGGTGACAGTCTCCAACCTCACCATGGGGCACGAGGGGCAGGTCGTGGTGCAGACGACCGTGGAAGGGAGAGCCTCTCTGAAGGTGGGCTGCGGGGGGCCTTACTTGGGGTGGGGGGTGGGGGCGAAGCAGGCGTGTCACCTTGGCGGATGAGAGAGACAAGTCCCGAGCGATTCTCAAACGGGTCTCTCTCTGCAGCGCAGGGACCTTTGTAGAAACAAACCGGGAGCTTGTAGAATCAGGACGGAAGGAGCCCACGGAGCCAAAATATCATTCGGTGTCGGTCTTTATTGTAGCGTTCCCAAAGCAAGGATTGGACTCTGATTAATAAAATACACACGAGGCTTGACCAGCAAGACTCTGGGCGGAGGGCAGTAATAAATTCTTGTCCACCCCTTGGCCCAGGTCGTTTTATTCACAAAAGAATTTTCACACAGTGTTCGTAAGAACCAATCAGATTTCCTCTGAGCATTTCGAAAAACCCCACGTGGGACAAAGTCAGATCAGAAATCCTGTTAACTACAAAGACTACTTTGAGCATGCATACATATCTGAGAGTGAATAAAACAGGGCTAGAGGAATGCATTCAGCAAAACCCCAGAGGCCATAAACAGGCAGGGAAGGAAGGAAGGATGGCAAGGAAAGAGTATTTACCATCTCCTTGTGAACTCTCTTCCTGGCCCTTAAAGATAAAGGGACCCCTGACCATTAGGTCCAGTCGTGGCCGACTCTGGGGTTGTGGCGCTCATCTCGCTTTACTGGCCAAGGGAGCCATGTGGCCAGCAGGACTAAGCCGCTTCTGGCGAACCAGAGCAGCGCACGGAAACGCCGTTTACCTTCCCGCCAGAGCGGTACCTATTTATCTACTTGCACTTTGACGTGCTTTCGAACTGCTAGATTGGCAGGAGCAGGGACTGAGCAACGGGAGCTCACCCCGTCACGGGGATTCGAACCTTCTGATCGGCAAGTCCTAGGCTCCATGGTTTAACCCACAGCGCCACCCGTGTCCTGGCCCTTAAGATCTACCTAAAAATTAACTACATCAAAGTGACGTACTATCTTTATGACCCAGGATGCCTGATGAACAACTGGCCTGTGTATTTAGAATACTTATACGTGCCTGTCAGGTGTAGAGAAAGAAAATAGCAGAGATGGAGAGGCTTGTGGGATTCGGTCAGAAATTATCGTCAATGAAACAAACCCAGTCAACGCAATGCTTTCATCGCTGACACAATGGCTTGCTCCATATTTCATGATTCCTCATAGCAATCCCACTTGACCCCCACACTCTGGATATTTATTCACCCCTACATTTATTCATTTCGTATTTATTCGGAGCATTTGTCCAGCCAAGAAAAATCCCAGAGCAGTTTATGTACGGTCAAAACTAGATGGTCCCTACCCGCAGGCTCACACCCTTAAAAAGCCATGACACACAAGGAAAGAACATCAGGGAGGGAAGAGGAAAAGGATTTTTTTCTGGGCGGCCTTCGCTGCTGCCGGGCATGAGTTTAGGCAAAGGCGAAGTGGAGCCACTGGCAGAAGCGGCGCAGGACTCATAGGTGCTTGTCGAGAGATCCATTTTGGGAGCCAGGGTCCTGCCTGCGCCTGGCGTCTTGCAGAGTGGCCCTTTCTGGAACTCTCTGCCTCATGAGACCAGGGCCCTGCAGGATCTGCTTTCTTTCCGCAGGGCCTGTAAGACAGAGTTGTTCCGCCTGGCCTTTGGCTTGGAGCCAATTTGATTCCCTCCCCCTCTTTCTTTTTCCTTTTCCTTTCTCCTGCGATGAGGCTACATTTTAATATTTTAATGTTTCAGTATTTTAATGTTGTATTTTAATTTTGTTTTTAAGTTGTATTCATTCAACTTGTTTTTATTATTGCTTGTTAGCCGGCCTGAGCCCGGCCTTGGCTGGGGAGGGCGGGGTAGAAATAAAAATTATTATTATTATTATTAACCTCCACCTCTCATTTCTTGAAGGACAAGTTTGCCCTACACCTGTACTCGGTCAACGGCAAGCATCTGGTCTCCATCCCTCTGGACGAGCAGGTCACTGCCATGTGCGTCACGGAAGAGTTTGTCGTTCTGGGGACCGTTCAGTGCTCCTTGCAGATCAGGGACCTGCAGAGGTAATGGCTCACCCCTTGATGCTCGCCTCAGTTGCCCTTGTGTCTGAACAGACAGCATCTCACATGCCTCGCTCAGAACTCTAAGCAGTCCACATTAAGCAGCCTCTGAATCTTCACATCCGACAAGGGATCTGTTGGACTACAACTCCCATCATGCCTGACGGTCAACCACACTGGCCCGGGGCTCATGGGGGTTGGAGTCCAGCAACACATCTGGATCAGGCCAGTGGTCCATCTAATCCGGCGTCCTGTTCTGCAATAGCTAACCGGATGACCATTGCGGGAGCCCCAAAGCACGACCTGAGCTCAGCTGTGGCCCTCTCCCCAGCCACTCTGGGCAGCTCCCAACAGAAGATTAAAAGCACAATAAAACATCAAACATTAAAAACTTCCCTAAACAGGGCTGCCTTCAGGTGTCTTCTCAAAGTCAGATAGTTGTTTATTTCCTTGACATCTAGTGGGAGGGCGTTCCACAGGGCGGGCGCCACCACCAAGAAGGCCCTCTGCCTGATTCCCTGTAACCTCGCTTCTCGCAGGGAGGGAACTGCCAGAAGGCCCTTGGTGCTGGACCTCAATGTCCAGGCAGAACGATGGGGGTGGAGACGTATGTGTGTGTATGTATATGTATGTATAGGAGATGCTCCTTGAGGTATATGTTGCTCTTACATTTACATGAAAACCAATTAAAATTATTTGGATTTTTTGTTTTTAAATTCTAACTTACAGTCGTACCGCACTAAGATTTCCCCACGCCTGTTCCTGCCTTTATTATGCTTGTTATTTTGAGGGGCGCAGATGGCGCTGTGGGTTAAACCACAGAGTCTAGGACTTGCCGATCAGAAGGTTGGCGGTTCGAATCCCCGCAATGGGGTGAGCTCCCGTTGCTCGGTCCCTGCTCCTGCCAACCTAGCAGTCCGAAAGCAATTCAAAGTGCAAGTAGCTAAATAGGTACCGCTCCGGCGGGAAGGTAAACGGCGTTTCTGTGGCTGCTGTGGTTCGCCAGAAGCGGCTTAGTCCTGCTGGCCACATGACCCGGAAGCTGTATGCTGGCTCCCTCGGCCAATAAAGCAAGATGAGCGCCGCAACCCCAGAGTCGGCCACGACTGGACCTATTGGTCAGGGGTCCCTTTACCTTTACCTATTTTAGATTTTAAGTGCCTGGGCACCTAACGCAGTCGCCCCCCGCCTCCTCTCCTTTCAGCCTCCAAGCTGCTGTCGCCCCTTTGGCAATGAAGGTCCCCATCCACAGCGTTTCGGTGACGAAGGAGAAGAGCCACATTCTTGTGGGCTTGGAGGATGGGAAGCTGATTGTGGTCGGAGCAGGGCAGCCTCTGGAGGTGAGTGAGTGACAGCTGCCCTTCAGCTCAACTCTTCCTAGTGTTATAGGGGGGAAACCTGCTCCTTTTCCCTTATGGGGTATCCAAGAGCCTGTATGGCACGGGTCAGCAACCGAAGCCCCATGAGCCACAAGCGGCCCATGTTGTTGTTTAGTCGTTTAGTCGTGTCCGACCCTTTGTTCATTCCCCCCCCCCAAAAAAAAATATAGTCCGGCCCCCCACAAGGTCTGAGGGACAGTGGACTGGCCCCCTGCTGAAAAAGTTTGCTGACCCCTGAGACCACCCCCCTGAAACATCATACAGTGGTACCTCGGGTTACAGACGCTTCAGGTTACAGACTCCGCCAACCCAGAAATAGTCCCTCAGGTTAAGAACTTTGCTTCAGGATGAGAATAGAAATCGGGTGGCAGCGGCAGCGGGAGGCCCCATTAGCTAAAGTGGTGCTTCAGGTTAAGAACAGTTTCAGGTTAAGAACGGACCTCCAGAACGAATTAACTTCTTAACCCGAGGTACCACTGTACATACATCACAGAAGGAGGCGGTCTACAGCAGAAATCTTGCCTGCCAGGATACCTGATAATGGTCACTGATTGCATTACCTGGGCAGCCTAGGCATTCTTTTGTGACGGTTAATACCTTAGTTCCTGAATCCAGGTCACAGGCTCACCCTATTCATACACAAATACGCCCTTAAGACAGGATTTGTAAGCAAAAAAGACTAGGGGGGGTGCCTTTCCCATTTCCTTCATGAGTGCAGAGAAATATTTGAGGTCAATTTGGGAGAGTCAAAATGGCTTCCTGATTGCTCTCCTGTGGTATTTCAGACACATATATACCTATGTGTGCGTTTGCCTTGTACATTTATGAACGTTTAATTTATATTTGAGACCTTAGAATTCTGATAACAACAACAACAATAATAATAATAATAATAATAATTTTAAAAAAAACTAATTCCCCACTTCCTGGTCCACCTTCTGCCTGCAGGTGAAGTCGGGACAGTTCCACAGGCGGCTGTGGCGTTCGACGCGTCGCATCTCCCAGGTGTCGTCCGGGGAGACAGAATACAACCCCGCGGAGTCCAAGTAAGCAGCTCGGTTCGGCTTTCACCTGTAGCCTCGCAGCCACGGCGGGACACGAGATCTGCCCACCCTCACCCGCTTTGGGGGCGTCTTCCGCTGCCCGGAGGCCTCTTTGCGTTGTCCCCGGAGCGTCGCGATCCGCAGAGTTCCCCTGCGTGGAGGAAGAAGAAGGAGGAAAACAAACTTCCTCAGGGACCCACCTGCAAGTCGGAGGTCTCTTAACACGCCTGGAGCAGCCTTCCGAGGGCGGCGCGCACAGAACAATCGCGGGGAAAGGGGTTCCTAGAGCCCATCCGGCTGCTCCTCGTTTCCCCGACCGAAGCACTCGATTCCTGCGGCGCTTGAAGGGGCAATTGCGTGACACGGTTGTCACACTGGGAAAAGAGACAGAGGACTGGAATTGGGGGTTGGGGGGAGAGTACCTTATCCGCCTCCCCCCGATCCTTGGCGGTTTTGGGGGGACAGAAACGCAATAGACGCACCGGCCTCAAGACTGCGGTCTGGTCTTTCTCCGACGGCCTTAAAAGGACCCGTTTTCATTGCACTACGTCGAGAAACTTGCACCGGTCCCCAGGACGGCTGCTTCTTCCTCGCCCAGGCGGGAGTTCTGTCCTCTTGCTCTCAAGAAAGCAGCAATGGCCGGCAAATAACTCTGGCAGAGCAGCAAACCCGCAAAGCATTAAGCCAGGGGTCTTCGGCACGTCCTACCCCGACCCCCTAAACCAGGCACCCCCAAACTCGGCCCTCCAGCTGTTTTGGGACTACAACTCCCATCATCCACAGCTATCAGGACCAGCGGTCAGGGATGATGGGATTTGTAGTCCCAAAACATCTAGAGGGCCGAGTTTGGGGGCGCCAGCCCTCAACCTACCCTCTGGTTTGAAAAAGGGAAGGAGGAGGCGAGGGAGCCCCTCCCCACAAGCCCCACTCACTCTGGAAACTGGATGGCTTGGTACCGGTGACCCCCAAGTTGAGGGGGTCGTATTGGTGGAATGGGGGTAGGTGGGCAAGGAGCAGAGCAACAGGATGTCTGTAATCTTACTGCACACGGCTAGCTTAGGGTCCCGCAAGTGTCTTCACCAGCAATAAAACCCTGCCATTTGGTAAACCTCTGTGTCTTCACCCCAACTTTTTACCCAGCAAGCCTTAGTTTCCGGCAGCCTCTGCTCAGCATATTCGGGAGAAGACATCCCTGCAGTCTTCTGGTCCCACAGAGGTGGGCTTCCTGGCCTTCTAGCCCTCCGGCAGACCCACTGCTTTCGACTTCTTGCTCTCCCCCCCCTTGGAACAAGCCCAGCGCTCCTCTCTTAAGGGAGCCACGCTCCCTTTGCCGTCGCCGGCCAAACGTTGAAAAGCCTTCGAAGGAGCTGGCTGAGGTCTGCTAATGACTCTGATCTGCACCCTAAGGTCCTTTCTCTTATAAGCACCAGACCTGCTCGGCGTTGAAGGTTGGTTTTTACTTTTACAGCTACCTGTAGTAGATCCTTTGTATCAACCCTCAAGACGAATCATCCAGGGCTCTCCTTTTTTGTACCAATTTGAAAGGTGTGTGGTTTAGACACCGTTCCCCAACTCTCCCCTTTCCCAGTCGCAGCAAATTTTGAGACCTTGGTGCTTTTTATTCTGTTCACCAATCCCTGGATATCAGTCTGGGCTTCAGTTCCTTATCTTGGTGGACTGGGGCAGTGGATAGGAGAAGAAAACAGGTTTGGGTTTAACTCTGAAATCGGCGACTTGCCTGGTGTTAGCAGGAAGCCTCCCATCAGCATCACACACGCATAAAAAGCCAGTCCTGTTGGCACCAGGTATTTTGGCTCACAGCTCCCGTCAGGCCCAGCCTGCCGACCCAAAACATTTGGAGGGGGGCACCAGGCTGGTGGTAGCCGATGTCACCCGCAGCAAGTTCCCCTTGGGGTCCAGCTTTTTAAAAAACAACAACAGGACTTTGGCCGGGCGAGAAACTTGGGAGAATAACCCGCCTGCTGCAAATTCTGCATTCCCAAAGGACGCAAGGAGAAGGGTGGATTCAGGGGAGTCGTCGTGGGCTGGAGAGTTGGAAGGGGGGACCCCAAGGATCATCCAGTCCACACACACACACATAGGCGCCGACTCCATGGGGCTTGAGGGGGCCCGAGCCCCCTCAAAAATTCGTTTGGGGGGGCTCCGCCCCCCCAATAATCTCCGGCGCCCCTCCAGCAGAGCGCCATCGCCGCCCCTCCCCCAGCCCAAAATGCACAGGGAGGGGCGGGCTGCATGCCTCCTGCCCTCCCTCCCGAGCAAAAGCTCCACCCAATTCCTTTGGAGCTGATTAATAGGCGCAGCACGCTCTCCCCTATTCGCTCACGGAGGAGGCAGCGCCACTTTATTTGCATATTCATGAGCTTATTATTATTCATGAGCTTTCCCGGGCCCCCCCCAATATTTTTTTATAAGTCCGCGGTCCCATGCACACACACACCACCCGGGTGATTCAGCGCCAGAAAAGAATAACAACGCTGGCCTTTCCCCTTAGTGGGCTAGCAGCGGTCCAGCTCCGCCACACTTCTGTGATTGCCCCTGTTTTGAAAAAACTAGTGCCAGTCCTGCAGAAGTCTAGCAAACGCACTACGTGGGGAGGGCAGACCTGACAACTTGGCCCCATCTCTTTGGGGTCTCTGCATTTGCAGAAAGTCGGGAGAGGAAACCCGAGCCCCAAAGTCCCCATCTCTGCGCAGCTGCGCCGCTTCTTGGCACACCGCTGTGCAGATAATCCTCCGCCATGACTCTCCCGCACACCCTAGATCCTCGGTTCTGTTAGAAGGTTTTCAGTGGGGAAACAAGTCCATCTTTCTCTTTGTCCCCGTGAGCAACTGTGTTGTGCTTTTTGCTGTAGAGGGTCACATTTTTCCTCCCTTCCCACCGGCCGTTGGACTGGCGGCCCCTTCTCCGCAGACTCCATTGTCTGTCGCCTTCCTACCAGCGCCGTGGGGAAAGGAGAAAGATGGCAGAATGCGGGCACCGTTGGGGTTCCTTCCGGCAGGGTGAATATTCCAGGTGAGGAATGGGAGAGTCTTGCAGAATTCTCCACCTATGACCCGCCAACTTGCCTTGTCCCATCTGAGTTCAACAGAGGAGCAGTTTGCATTCGTACAACAGGCCACTGGGCGGCTCCAAACGTACTTGGACTATAACTCCCATCAGGCCCAGCCAGCGCCGAACCTCATGGGAGTTGTAGTCTGAAACATTTGGAGGGCACCCGGCGGCTGCAATAGGCACTTGCCCCCCCCCACCTCATTTGTAAAGGGAAGACCTGGGCTCTAAAAGCAAAGGCCGCCTTCGATTCCTCCCGCTCACCTCCCCATCGACCTCTTCCAAAAATAATAATTCCTGGGTGAAGACCAAATTCCACAAAGTGCAATATCCACGCTCTCTTTTTTGGCAAAAAAGACTCCCCTACCCCCCCAAAAAACCCACTGTTTTCTGTGTACATATATATATATATATATACACACAGGTTTTGTATCTTTTATGAATAATGTTGATCCAAACTTTTCTATTTTTTTGTATTTAGTGGATTGGGGGGGGGAGTTTATCTGTTTTTGAGATCCTGCTGGCTTGGAGAGAGCAAGACTCAAAACACCTCTGATGTTTCCCTATGTGGATTTGTCCTTTTGTTTCAAATGAGACTTTAAGGGGCTCTCGTCACCTTCCCAAGGCGTAGCAAACGTTTCACCGGAGAGGTCTTCGTTACCTCTGCGCTTTGACCTTGCAATCTCCTGGCTTTAGGGGGAGATAAATAATAATAATAATTTATTATTTACACCCCACCCATCTGGCTGAGTTTCCCCAGCCACTCTGGGTGGCTCCCAATCGAGTGTCTGTTTTGCATTTTGCACGTGCGTGTCTTCGAAATTCTGTGTTTTAACGCTTCCGAATGGGAAAACACCAGGGCTACCAGCTGGAACGGGTTCAGAATAGAGGTTGAACGAGGGCGGCTTTGAGGAACCTCTTCCTATGGCTGCTGGATTGCGTCCCTAACCGAGTCACACTCGATGCAGAAGGGGAAAACAGCAGCTGCAAAGGGGGGGGGGGACACAAACACTGAGCTTTGTCTCGGTGGCTTTGTCTGTTTCCCACCTGGGGATCTGTTTGCATAGCAGGATTTCTGGAAGAAGGACCAGTTTTACCTTGGGGTCCCTGTCAGAGCAGCTCTTGCCATCAGCCAAGGCAGAAAACGGACCCCGTTTTCCAAGCGGCGCTCTGTGCATGCCCAAAAGCCTTATCGCCCCTGTTCCCACCTTTGCAGTTGCTGAGGTTTTTCTCGCAACTCGGCTGGAGCGCTTGACGACAGCCCAAGGAAGGGCTGGTGGTCCCAGCTCCAGAACAAACTGGCGCCATCATGATGTTGCTAGACCGCAGCTCCCGCGGCTGATGGGAATTGTAGTCCACTCCACCAGCTTGGGGAAAATCTGCTCCAAAACCTCCTATCCGTTTGTGCAACTATACAGACCTCCGCCTGAAGGACTGCGGTGACTGGTGAGCACAGCAGTTCCACATCTGGAGCACTTTTAATATGCCTTACTATTCCTTAATGTCAGCATGCAACTGGCCAGGTCTTTTCCCATCTTAAGTTTTTCCTTCCAATGTGCAATTGGAGATGATTTACACAGGGAGATCGGCAGAGAGCAGATGAGACATCTGGGAGGGGAAATGGAACTCTTTATTATAACATATTGCAAAGTTTCCACCCCTGGTCTGATTCCTAAAGCGCTGTGGCAGTAGCTGCTTTTTCACAACTAAGGTTGCCCAGGTAAACGTAAAGGCAGATTTGCACCTGTTTTCACTGGTGAAACTTAATGGCACACAGCAAAGCAGTCAGGGATTGGCTCCATCGGTGCTTTTGAGGTCGTCTTCTTGGCGTTCAGTACTATGGAAGTGCCTAGAGGGACACACAAATTGTCCTTTTACTTTCTAGCGTGAGAGCAAAAAATTAAATGTTTCCAGTTGGAGGAAGATGGTAGGGACAAGGACAAATCCACATTGGGCTATCTACTCTCAGGAAAACGCAGCAAATCCAAGGATCTGTCCACGGTTCTTCTTTCCGAAAAGGGAAATAAAAGCACAATCTGAACTTCCAATTATTATTTTTTTAAAATATAAATATGCCTTAAACTTGAAAATGACTACTTGCCTTCAGCTGTACTGGGCTTGCCCCACAGACTTGACGGTATCCTGTTCACGTGACTTTGAATAAACTTTGAAAAGAAACAAGCGCAGCCTGTGAATTCTTTTAGTCCGGCTCTCGCTGTTCCTTCCGAGTCCTGAGAGATTAAGGCAGCCATTGCCAACCTGGTGCCCTCTGAATGCTTTGGACTGTAGCCTTTTCAGGCTTTGCCCTCCGGTGGGAAGAGTATTGCACTCGGGAAAGGGAAGTGGGAGTCAAACAGACACTCAAGGAATAATTTCAGAGAAAAAGCTTTATTTCTATCATCCATGAACTGGGAGAAGGAGCTAGTGTGATAATTTCACAAACAAGCACGGGTTCACAGTCGTTTGCACAGAGCATATATTCCCCTCCAGTTCCCTCCCCTTTCTCCTCCTCCTCAGGAGCCCTGCCCCATGATGAGTTTCCTGAGCATGAACAGAAAGCTCCTGTCTTTGGGACTCTTGGCGCCCTTCCCAGGAAAGGGGGGATGAGAAGCCAAGGGGGTTGAGGAGCCTTGCGTTCAGCGTGTCCAAGATGTGTTACAACCGAATGAGATAAGAGCCAGTTCCCAGGCTTATGCTTGGCATTGACAAAGCCTATTCATTAGCCTTTTTCTAGCCTTCTCGTACTGATAAAAGTAACATTTTGCCTATGCAGCAGCATCTTGTGAGAATCATAGAATCATAGAGTTGGAAGAGACCACAAGGGCCATCGAGTCCAACCCCCTGCCAAGCAGGAAACACCATCAGAGCACTCCTGACATATGGTTGTCAAGCCTCTGCTTAAAGACCTTCAAAGAAGGAGACTCCACCACACTCCTTGGCAGCCAATTCCACTGTCAAACAGCTCTTACTGTCAGGAAGTTCTTCCTAATGTTTAGGTGGAATCTTCTTTCTTGTAGTTTGGATCCATTGCTCCGTGTCCGCTTCTCTGGAGCAGCAGAAAACAACCTTTCTCCCTCCTCTATGTGACATCCTTTTATATATTTGAACATGGCTATCATATCACCCCTTAACCTCCTCTTCTCCAGGCTAAACATGCCCAGCTCCCTTAGCCGTTCCTCATAAGGCATCGTTTCCAGGCCTTTGACCATTTTGGTTGCCCTCCTGTGGACACGTTCCAGTTTGTCAGTGTCCTTCTTGAACTGTGGTGCCCAGAACTGGACACAGTACTCCAGGTGAGGTCTGACCAGAGCAGAATACAGTGGCACTATTACTTCCCTTGATCTAGATGCTATACTCCTATTGATGCAGCCCAGAATTGCATTGGCTTTTTTAGCTGCCGCGTCACACTGTTGGCTCATGTCAAGTTTGTGGTCAACCAAGACTCCTAGATCCTTTTCACATGTACTGCTCTCAAGCCAGGTGTCCCCCATCAGAAAGCAGAGAAGAGCAGAGAAAAGCTGTTTTAGAAGAGAGAAAGGGGAAATTTGGTTTTGAGGCCTGGGGTGACTTCGGGGTGACTTCACAGACAGGATTTGGGTATCCTGTCCCTTCAGGACTACAACTCCCATGAGGCTTAACCAGCACAGCCTGATGGAAGTGGTAGTCCATTTTTTTTAAAGGCACCAGGTTGACAAAGGCTGTATTTAAGGGCACCCCCTTCCTGGAGGGTCACCTGCATAAGCTCCCATCAAAGTGAATCGTGCATTTGCACAGTTCCTGATCTATTTCAGGGTTTGGGCCCATGTCACAATGTCCCATGTAAAGCCCCAATGCTCAGAGGCAGGCACATTTGGGAAAGAAAGAAGCAATCGCCCGGTTTAAGGAGCAATGTCCATATTTTAGAAGCAGAACCAGAGATTGAAAAGGAAGCTGGGAGCTCCACCAGCTTAACACTTTTGGAGCTAGGAAATGGTTCCTGCGACCTGTTTTTGCAGAAACACGTGGCTCTAGGTTCAGACATGCAACAGGCAACGAGATGTCTCTGGGAATCTCACGTGCAGCTCCGCAAGCTTGGGTTGGGGTGCGAAAAAGCTCTCCAGGTGAGAACCTGAGCACCTGAATCCTCATTCAAGGGCGATCGTCTCACCCCCATCTCACAATTTCTCCTAAATTGCAGACAGGTTAGGAAGCACACCTCCTTGCGTGCATCTGGAATGCGGGGTGCATGCATGTGAAAAAAATCAGGTTGCAACTTTATGCATCCAATCTGCCTTTCCAGGTGACTCGGAGGCCCTCAGATTTTTGGAAAAATGGAAGTGGAAATGCAAAAAATAAAAACTTGACAGTTCTATGAGCCTATAACAGCAGCTGCATCTAGAGTTATGTTATTGTCTAATTTTCGAAGTTAAGCAGGGTCAGTTCTGGATGGGAGACTACCTGGAAATGTCATGTATGGTGAGATTCTTGCTTTTGCTCCCATAAATTGTCACTTCGACTTTCCCATCTCAGAGCTCAGGAACCATCTCTTTTTTCCCCCAAATCCAAAGACAGTTCTGACACCTTAAAAGGGAGATTTGATGCTGATTTTTCCCATGCATGAATTTCCCATTCGGTGTAAGTGGCTGCAATTTCAGGGGGAATTGTGAGACGGAAGGGAGAGCATTTCTTTGCATCCAATGTGCCTTTCAAAGCAGAAGCCCGTGGGCTTTGATAAAGAGGAGGGGATTCCTGGGTCTGAGTTGCAAAAGGGGAAATGCAAAAAATGCCTACCGCACCCAGTATTCCCAGGCGGTCTCCCATCCAAGTACTAACCAGGCCCGACCCTGCTTAACTTCCGAGATCGGACGGGATCGGGTGCATTCAGGGTGGTGTGGCTGTAGGCAGCAAAAGAACTTTCAATGGCCCTTTTCTGGTCCTGACTCCGCCTTTGCAAGAGTTTGCACCTCCCCAGCTCTTTTTTCCTGCTCCTGCTGCCTCCCAGTGCTGCCTGCCCGGGGAGAACTGCATCTCCTTTGCTTTCTCTCCCTCTCTCCTTCCAAATCTTGCAGGCAGGAAAATGCTGGCACTTGCAACGGGGGCTTTGCAGCTGCAGAACGCCTTTCCTCCGAAATTGCAACCGTGCAAGAGCTGCAAAAAACCGCTCACCGTGCATTATATTATTTATTTTATTTTGCATTCTGCTCTGCAAAATCCCAGAACTTGCCCTGGCTTGCAGCGGTCAGAGAGGCGGAACGAGCCTGTGCTCTCCTCGCTCCTGCCGGCAGGTGGCGCTGCGCAGCCATCCCTTAGAAAAGAACGGCGCGCGGGCGAGACAGCCACCACAAGAATAAACGCTGGCGGACGGGGCCAGCTCGCGCATGCGCGACCATTAAGTGCTCCCGGTCCGGAGCAGCTCTGCGGCTCTCCTCGCGAGACGAGGCGCAGAAGTTGCGCGGTCGGGCGCAATCGGCTCTTTCTCTCGACAGCCTCGTTCTGCAATCTCAGCTGAAGGCTGAGTTAACCCCATCCTGCCCGGCGTGCACGGAAGCCCTGGGATGAATATATTGGGGCGAGATCCTGCAATATTTTTAATTGAGGGGAGCAAACTGGGAGGCTTTGGTGGTGCTGGCAAGCAGCACGATGCTGCATGCTGCAGAAGGGAGGGCAGAGGAGCAGGGGCCGCTGAAAAAGTTGGCAACCTAGTATTTTTTTTGGAATATTTTTATTAATTTTCCAAAAATAACAAAAATAAAACAACAATTTCAAAACCAAACCAAAAAACTGACTTCCCCCTAGTCCCTTCCTTGGCTCCATTATTATTTATCAACATACCACAAGTCCATTATAAATTAAAAAACCACTAAAATTACTTATTGTCCATTCATAATAAAATTAGAAGTAGTTCTTTGTTGTTTAGTCATTTAGTCGTGTCCGACTCTTCGTGACCCCCTGGACCAGAGCACGCCAGGCACTTCTGTCTTCCACTGCCTCCCGCAGTTTGGTCAGACTCATGCTGTTACCTTCGAGAACACTGTCCCACCATCTCGTCCTCTGTCGTCCCCTTCTCCTTGGGCTCTCCATCTTTCCCAACATCAGGGTCTTTTCCAGGGAGTCTTCTCTTCTCATGAGGTGGCCAAAATATTGGAGCCTCAACTTCACGATCTGTCCTTCCAGTGAGCACTCAGGGCTGATTTCCTTCAGAATGGAGAGGTTTGGTCTTCTTGCAGTCCATGGGGCTCTCAAGAGTCTCCTCCAGCACCATAATTCAAAAGCATCCATTCTTTGGCGATCAGCCTTCTTTATGGCCCAGCTCTCACTTCTATACATCACTACTGGGAAAACCATGGCTTTAACTATATGGACCTTTGTCAGCAAGGTGATGTCTCTGCTTTTTAAGATCCTATCTAAGTAAAGGTTAAAGGTAAAGGGACCCCTAACCATTAGGTCCAGTCACGGACGACTGGGGTTGCGGCGCTCATCTCGCTTTATTGGCCGAGGGAGCTGGCGTACAGCTTCCGGGTCATGTGGCCAGCAGGACTAAGCCGCTTCTGGCGAACCAGAGCAGCGCACGGAAACGCCGTTTACCTTCCCGCCAGAGCGGTACCTATTTATCTACTTGCACTTTGAGGTGCTTTCGAACTGCTAGGTTGGCAGGAGCAGGGACCAAGCAACAGGAGCTCACCCTGTCACAGGGATTCGAACTACACAAAGCTTGCAAAGTATGCATTAAACATTTCCTCATTTAAAAAAACAAAAACAAAGTTCTTTTTCTTTCTTGGGTTTTGCAAAATGTCTTTTGACCCGTGCACAGACATGCAAGCGTTAGAGCTGCTTTCTTGCATGAATTTACGTCGGTTTTTGTGTTTTGTTTTTGGAGTGGCAAGCGGTTAATTCAATAGGAAGCAGAGATGGTTTTTGCACCCCCTTTGGCTAAGCCAATGGGGCTTCCGGCAAAGCCAACACACCCCCAATGTCCCGCCCCCCCATGTCATATGACCTCAGCCCTGATCAGGCACCAGCTGTCTCTGTGCTGCAAAAGTGGACTTTACTCCAACTCAAGAGTAGCTGGATCTGAGCAAAAGCAACTCTGCTAAGAGGTACACTTATTCTTTCCAAATTAAGATTTCATTCCGTTTCCATAAGTGTCTCGAGACAGGCCGGCAGGCAAAAGGAAAACCTTCCATTTCTTGTTGCAGAAAGATAAATTTCCCTTCCCTTCCTTCCATTGAGCCTCAAATGCAAAATTGTCTTTTTCCCTGAAGCAGCCAAGAATTCTATTGTGCTGTCCGACTGTTCTCTTGGCCTCTTTCAAGATCCCTTCCTGTCCTTTGTTTTTGTTTTTAAAATATTTTTATTCACAATTTCAGCAAAACAAAAATTTCAAAATATACCATATTCATTATTTTCCCCCTTCCCTCCCCCGACTTCCCTCAGCTCCTCTCTCTGATTTCGTAGCACATATTATTCTCTGCATGTTATAAACTTGTACATATCCTTACATTATCTATCTATCATGTTATCAACCAATAAATTTGTGTGTGTTTATTCAAACCCTGCCAAGGAGTTCCAGTTCATTTTGTTGTCTTTTTAGATAATTTGTAAAAAGCGCCCATTCTTCCTTAAAGTCCCAGTTGTCCTTGTTTCGCAGTTTGTATGTCAATTTCGCCAGTTCTGCATAAGTCATCAATTTTTCTTGCCACTGTTCTTTCGTGCCCTTTTTCTCCTTTGCACTGGGGTTCAGAGAACAAGATCATCAGGAGAGTTTTCCGATAAGATTTTTGCGTCTTCTCAAAGATCAGAGACACGAGATGATACGGATGCATCCCTTGTCTCCCAAGGAGGAGGAGACGAGTTGGTGGGCCCCCAACATAATTTTAATTATAATTTTATTATTTATACCCCGCCCATCTGGCTGGGTTGCCCAGTGGCTAATAGGCTACGTTGGGCAAAAGATTGCCACAGGTTTGCATTGATTAGATCAGTGATGGCCAAACTTGGCCCTCCAGCGGTTTTGGGACTACAATTCCCATCATCCCTAGCTAACAGGACCAGCTAACAGGACCTCTGCAATGCAGGAATATGCAGCTGTCCCAAATGGGATCAAACCTGCAACCTTGTCGTTATCAGCGCCACGCTCTAAGGCAGTCTTTCTCAACCCGCGGGTCCCCAGATGTGGTTCAACTACAACTCCCATCACCCCTAGCTAGCAAGGCCAGAGCTCAGGGATGATGGGAGTTGTAGTCCAACAACATCTGGGCACACACAGGTTGAGAACCGCTGCTCTAAGCTATGCAGGCTGATTCTGCTAAACTACAGCTCCCATCATCCCTGAACCACTAGCCATGCCTGCTAGGGTTGATGGGAGTTGTAGTTCCGCATCACCTTGATGGCCAACAATTCCCAGCTCTGGGTTTAGACCTTGCATGTCAGGACGGAGGCTCTGGCCACCGGCAGGCAGGTCAGACATTAAACCAGGATCTGGTGATAGCTGCAACCTTGGGGTTATTGCCACCACGCTCTGATAGCACCAGCTGAGCTTTCCATTTGGGTTAAACCACAGAGACTAGGGCTTGCTGATCAGAAGGTCGGCGGTTTGAATCCCCGCGACGGAGTGAGCTCCCATTGCTCGGTCCCTGCTCCTGCCAATCTAGCAGTTTGAAAGCACGTCAAAGTGCAAGTAGATAAATAGGTACCACTCCGGCGGGAAGGTAAACGGCGTTTCCGTGCGCTGCTCTGGTTCGCCAGAATCGGCTTAGTCCTGCTGGCCACATGACCCGGAAGCTGTACACCGGCTCCCTCGGCCGGTAAAGTGAGATGAGCGCCGCAACCCCAGAGTCGTCCGCAACTGGACCTAATGGTCAGGGGTCCCTTTACCTTTACGCATCCTTTGTGCCATTCGCGCAGGTCTTCTGCCAAGTTTCTCCTCCTGACAGATGTGGACTGGAAGACCGGTGGGAGAGCTGCCAAGCCCGGCGTTCACCGTGGACCTGGACACGGCGAAGAGGAATGCCGAGAAAATGAGGGACCGCTGCAAGGCCCTGGGCGTGGTCTTGAGGCCCCACATGAAAACCCACAAAACGCTGTGAGTGGCGTCATATTGGATTGTAATAATAAATTACAGGCGAGGCGGAGAGAGAGATCACATTACCATCTCGCTTGCAATTTGGCAGGTCAAGTACAGTGGTACCTTGGTTCTCTTTTTTTATATACATATTTTTTATTAACTTCAACATACCAATTATTATACATTCCACAGAACTTCACATCTTATACAATCTTTTTGGACTTCCATCAGCACCTCTGATGAGCCACCATTTTTATCATTTCTTCTGCATTTCTTAAATTCCTATTGCCTTTAATTATCTTAACTCACAATCCACCTCTTTAACCATTTTTGCAATAATTCAAATAATTTACCTCACAAAGCTTCTTGCAAACCTACAAACGTAATCTGGTCATCACAATTACTTTTCAAATAGTACGTAAATTTACACCAGTCTTCTGTGAATCTCTGGTCCCACAGGTTTCGAATTCTGCCAGTTAGTTTATCCAATTCTGCATAGTCCATCAATTTCATCCTCCATTCTTCTTTTGTCGGTAATTCTTCTTGCTTCCATTTTTGTGGTACCTTGGTTCTCAAACGCCTTGGTACTCAAACAACTTGGAACACAAACACCGCAAACCCGGAAGTATGTGTTCCGGTTTGCGAACTTTTTTTGGAAGCCAAACGTGCTCCGTTTTGAGTGTTACGCTTCTGATTTGGGTGTCACGCTTCCATTTTGAGTGTTATGCTGAGGTCTGCCTGTTTTTGCTATGTATTTTGTGTTTTTGTGGCTCTTTTTCGTTTTGTTTTTGTGATTGTGTGGAACCCAGTTCAGCTACTGATTGATTGATTGATTGATTGATTGTGTGACTGCAATACATTGTTTATTGCTTTCATTTTATGGATCAGTGGTCTCGTTAGATTGTAAAATCCATGTTAAATTTCTGTTTTAGGGGTTTTAAAAAATCTGGAACGGATTAATCCGTTTCGCATTACAGCGCGCCTTGGTTTTGGAACGCTTTGGTTTTGGAACGGACTTCTGGAACGAATTAAGCTTGAAAACCAACTTACCACTGTAAATCAAATTTTGAATCCTGAAAAAGGAACCGGATATCCAAATCCCGCACCTACGGCTTGAAATCTGCTCCAAACTTTGCAAAGCTTTCCCCTCAGTCTTCACATATTACCCTATAACAGTGGCGTAGCGTGGGGGGTGCAGGGGGGGCCGGCCGCACCGGGCGCAACATCTGGGGTTAGGGCAAATCCACAGGTTAGGGGGCGCAAATCCATGGGTTAGGGGGCGCAAATCCACGGGTTAGGGGGCGCAAATTACTTGCCTTGCCCCGGGTGCTGACAACCCACGCTACGCCACTGCCCTATAATTTGTTTATAATCATCCTTTTATAGCCCAAAGGCCATCGCCACCCTGCCCCTTGCTTTTTTGCAGGAATTTTGTATCTTGAGTCGCCAGATCTGTTCCACATTTTGCTAATCTGCTGGGAGACGGTCTGAGCAGTCTGTGGATTCCTTGTCTGGGTTTCCCGAACTGACTTGGTAATTGATCTCTCATGTGTAGGAGAAAGGATAGGTTCCGCATTGTGTTGCCGCCTGAGAAGGAAATTCCCAAGGATTTATTGCATTTCTATCCTTTTATCCAATCTATTAAGTCTCCTTTTTCAATAGGTAAAGGTAAATGGACCCCTGACCATTAGGTCCAGTCATGGCCAACTCTGGGGTTGCGGCGCTAATCTCGCTTTCTTGGCCGAGGGAGCCGGCGTACAGCTTCCAGGTCATGTGGCCAGCATGACTAAGCCGCTTCTGGAGAACCAGAGCAGCGCACGGTAACGCCGGAGTGGTACCTATTTATCTACTTGCATTTTGAGGTGCTTTCGAACTGCTAGGTGGGCAGGAGCAGGGACTGAGCAACAGGAGCTCACCCCGTCGCGGGGATTCGAACCGCCGACCTTCTGATCGGCAAGTTCTAGGCTCTGTGGTTTAACCCACAGCGCCACTCACGTCCCACGTCCCTTTTCCAATACCCTTTATCAAATTATATTACAAGTGCTAATCCAATCCTACTAACATTTTTAAATGTTTGCAATGCCCGTTCCTATATTCTGTAAAGTTAATCCATTCATTCCTATTTTTTTTTGTCTTCTTGGTGTCTAATCTTCCCAGTCAATTTCGACGGAGAAAAGCCTTTATGGTTTTGCGGATACAGTTTATGGCAGTGGTGTAACGTGGGTTGCCAGGGCCCGGAGCTGCTTGGGAGTGTGTGTGGAGTATGCATGGAAAGAGTAGAAGGGAAGTCACTGATACCTTAAGGATGTAAAAATGAGTACAGTTCTCAAACTTAATCCATTTTGGAAGTCCGTTCCAAAACCAAAGCGTTCCAAAACCAAGGCGTGGTTTCCCATAGAAAGTAATGCAAAATGGATTAATCCATTCCAGACTTTTAAAAACAACCCCTAAAACAGCAATTTCACATGAATTTTACTCTCTAACAAGACCATTGATCCATAAAATGAAAGCAATAAGCAATGTACTGCAGTCACACAATCAATCCATCAGTAGCTGAACTGGGCTCCACACAGTCAGAAAAACAAAACAAAAAGAGCCACAAAAACGCAAAATAAAGAAGAAAAACAGACAGACCTCAGCATAACATTCAAAATGGAAGTGTGGCACTCAAATCGGAAGCGTAACACTCAAAATAGAGCACGTTCGGCTTCTGAAAAACGTTTGCAAACCGGAACACTTACTTCCGGGTTTGCAGTATTTGGGTTCCATGTTGTTTGAGTACCAAGGCGTTTGAGAACCAAGGTACAACTGTACTTTAAATTGTGAATATTATAGGGGGAAATGAATATACATAATAATCATAATTGGGTTCTTCCCTCAGGGAGGGTGGAAGTCTCATGACCGGAGGCACTCTGAGGAAGATTGTGGTGTCCACATTGGCCGAGGGCCGATTCTTCGCCAATGGTGGCTTTGACGACATCCTCTACGCCTACCCTCTGCCTTTTGACAAGGTGGAAGAGTGTGCAGCCTTGGCCGAGAGGCTAGATGCCTTCCATGTCCTCGTGGACAGCCACGCGGCGCTGTCCCTCCTGAAGAAGAGGCCCTTGAGCCATGGGAAACGCTGGAAAGTGTGGCTGAAGATCGACTGCGAAAACCACCGAGGTACCGGGGGCTCTTGCCGGGGGCAGGCCAGCACCCGCTCTGCCAGGGTGGCTGGTGCAGGGCATCTCATTTGAGGGCGCGGAACTTAATACTAGGGATGCGGGTGGCGCTGTGGGTTAAACCACAGAGCCTAGGACTTACCGATCAGAAGGTCAGCGGTTCGAATCCTCGCGACGGGGTGAGCTCCCGTTGCTCGGTTCCTGCTCCTGCCAACCTAGCAGTTCGAAAGCACGTCAAAGTACAAGTAGATAAATAGGTACCGCTCTGGCGGGAAGGTAAACGGCGTTTCCGTGCGCTGCTCTGATTCGCCAGAAGCGGCTCAGTCATGCTGGCCACATGACCTGGAAGCTGTACGCCGGCTCCCTCGGCCAGTAAAGCGAGATGAGCGCCGCAACCCCAGAGTCGACCGTGACTGGACCTAATGGTCAGGGGTCCCTTTACCTTTAACTTAATACTACAAGCTTTCGGCCAACCTTTAGCTGTCGGAAAGATGGCTTACATTTGACTCTAGAATACTTTGGTATACAAAGGAGTTCATGGTTGACTCAATGTCTGCAAGGTTCCCAGGTCCTGGGGCTGCAAAACAAGCCCAAATCATCACCTCTCCACTATTGTGCTTGTGCTAATATGCTGTGTTTGGTTTTTGCTAAACGTGGCACTGTGCATTATGGCCAAACATCTTCACTTTGGTCTCGTCGGTCCAAATACATCTGCCTGGTGTTTTTATATGAGTAGAATGTGTCCTTTTGTATAAAACACATCTCTGGGTTATTTGTGGGGCCTGCCTGGTGTTTTTACATGTGTAGAATGTGTCCTTTTATTTAAAATGCATCTCTGGGTTATTTGTGGGGCGTAGGAATTCGTTCATATTTCTTTTTCAAAATATAGTCCAGCTTCCCACAAGGTCTGAGGGACAGTGGACCGGCCCCCTGCTGGAAAAGTTTGCAGGAGTTTCTTAATCTCAGGGTTGTGTGGGTCAATCCCCATGTTGGGCAAAACATCCTTGCATTGCTGGGGGAAGGGACTAGATGATTCTCCCTTCCAGCTCTATGATTCTATGGACTCCCCGTGCAAGGCGGAGCCTGGGGGTTTGGGGCGGGGCTTGGATACAAGGGGCAGAGCCACAGCTTCCTCCTCCTTGCTGCTGCTTGTGGAACTCAGCTGGGAGGAGGATGGAAGCAAAATGGGACGATTTGCCTCCAGTGGCCATTGGCCGCAACTCCTGCAATTGTTGGCTCTGTGGCGCCCCCTTGTTGTTGTTGTTGAATCGTTTAGTCGTGTCCGACTCTACGTGACCCCCTGGACCAGAGCATGCCAGGCACTCCTGTCTTCCACTGCCTCCCGCAGTTTAGTCAAACTCATGCCGGTAGCTTCGAGAACACTGTCCCACCATCTCGTCCTCTGTCGCCCCCTTCTCCTTGTGCCCTCCATCTTTCCCAGCATCAGTGTCTTCTCCAGGGAGTCTTCTCTTCTCATGAGGTGGCCAAAGTACTGGAGCCTCAGCTTCAGGATCTGTCCTTCCCAGTGAGCACTCAGGGCTGATTTCCTTCAGAATGGAGAGGTTTGATCTTCTTGCAGTCCATGGGACTCTCAAGAGTCTTCTCCAGCACCATAATTCAAAAGCATAAATTCTTCGGCGATCAGCCTTCTTTATGGTCCAGCTCTCACTTCCATACATCACTACTGGGAAAACCATGGCTTTTACTATACGGACCTTTGTTGGCAAGGTGATGTCTCTGCTTTTTAAGATGCTGTCTAGGTTTGTCATTGCTTTCCTCCCAAGAAGCAGGCATCTTTTAATTTTGTGACTGCTGTCACCATCTGCAGTGATCATGGAGCCCAAGAAAGTAAAATCTCTCACTGCCTCCATTTCTTCCCCTTCTATTTGCCAGGAGGTGATGGGACCAGTGGCCGTGATCTTCTTTTTTGATGTTGAGCTTCAGGCCATATTTTGCGCTCTCCTCTTTCACCCTCATTAAAAGGTTCTTTAATTCCTCCTCACTTTCTGCCATCAAGGTTGTGTCATCTCCATATCTGAGGTTGTTGATATTTCTTCCGGCGATCTTTATTCCAGCTTGGGATTCATCCAGCCCAGCCTTTTGCATGATGAATTCTGCATGTATTTGAAATAAGTAGGGACACAATATACAGCCTTGCCGTACTCCTTTCCCAATTTGGAACCAATCAGTTGTTCCATATCCAGTTCTAGCTGTAGTTTCTTGTCCCACATAGAGATTTCTCAGGAGACAGATGAGGTGATCAGGCACTCCCATTTCTTTAAGAACTTGCCATAGTTTGCCGTGGCCGACACAGTCAAAGGCTTTTGCATAGTCAATGAAGCAGAAGTAGATGTCTTTCTGGAACTTTCTAGCTTTCTCCATAATCCAGCAACAATATTTTACAAGCAGTTTATTCAGCATACATCAGGACAAAAGAAAAACATGTCTGATCCCTTTCGTGTCCAAAGCAAGCAGCATAAAGCAAAAGCTATACACAAACGGAAGTTCCCAGCAAGCTGTGCTGGAGTGTAAACAGATATGTGACACACAACAGTCTGCTTTCAAATAGTTTGCTTTCCGCCCTATCAAGTCCCAACAGGCACCAGCCAGAAAATTTGTGTGCCTTACCTCTCCCATCCCTTTTTCTCCGCTTTAATTCCAGCCGGCCTGAGGCATTCGGACCCCGCTGCCCTGGAGCTCGCCAAGGCCATCGCAGAAGGGGCAACCAAACTGACGGGGATATACGCACACTGCGGCAATTCCTACAGCTGCCACGGAGCGTCCGAAATCCAGGCCGTGGCTCGCACCACCACTGCGTTGACCCTGAAGTTCATGGACCAGTGAGTGCTTTTAAGCCTTCATTCGTTTGCAGCATATATTTATTTATTTGCGGCTTTAAATATCCCACCTTTTCCCCTCCAAGAAGCTCAAGGTGACGTACGCTGTTTATTTAGTCCCCACAACAAGCTGTGAGGTAGCTCAAACTGAGACGCAACGGCTGGCTTAATAATAATAATAATAATAATAATAATAATAATACAGTCTTACCTCGGGTTGAATGTGCTTCGGGTTGAGCGTGTTAGAGTTGCACTCCACAGCAACCTGGAAGTAAAGGAGCGTGTTACTTCCGGGTTCCGCCACTCGCGCATGCGCAGACGCTCAAAATGACGTCACGCGCATGCGCGGAAGCTGCAAAACGTGACCCGCGCAGACGCGCTGTCGCTGCTTACGTTGCGTTCAGGATGCGAACGGGGCTCCGGAACGGATCCCGTTCGCATCCCGAGGTACCACTGTAATAATAATAATTTATTATTTATACCCAGACCATCTGGCTGGGTCTCCCCAGCCACCCTGGGGGCTTCCAACAAAGTATTAAAATACAGTGGTCTGTTAAACATTAAAAGCTTCCCTAAACAGGGCTGCCTTCAGATGTCTTCTAAAAGTCTGGTAGTTGTTGCTCTCTTTGACATCTGGTGGGAGGGCGTTCCACAGGGTGGGCGCCACCACCAAGAAGGCCCTCTGCCTGGTTCCCTGCAAGCTTGCTTCTTGCAGTGAGGGAACCGCCAGAATGCCCTTGGCGCTGGACCTCAGTGTCCGGGCAGAACAATGGGGGTGGAGACGCTCCTTCAGGTATACTGGACCGAGGCTGTTTAGGGCTTTCAAGGTCAGCACTGACACATTGAATTGTGCTCAGAAACGTACTGGGAGCCAATGTAGGTCTTTCAGGACCGGTGTTATGTGGTCTCAGCGGCTGCTCCCAGTCACCTGTCTAGCTGCCGCATTTTGGATTAGTTGCCGTTTCCGGGTCACCTTCAAAGGTAGCCCCACGTAGAGCGCATTGCAGTATCTCTCGCTTGGATTACGAAGGTCACCCAGCAAGCTTCAGCACTGAAGGAGGATTCGAACTCAAGTCTGATATACTTCCGCCACTGGCTTTGAGCCACTAAGAGCTGCCCTGGTTGAGTCAGCCCCAAACCCCGTCTTGCCCTCTTTTCGCAGAGCAAGGGGGAGCAGCTGGCCAGATCTGGAGCAGGCAAACAATGGGGCCCAGGATCCGGTCCAATACCGGCTAGCAGGCATGACAAGGCAGCAGGATCCTGTGATCCTATAGAATCATAGAACTGTAGAGTTCGCAATCCCAACCTTAGGATTCCACATGTTAATGCTCTTTGATTGCATTTCTTAACGCAAGAGCGACTACAAATAGCTGAGTTGGTAGAGCACGAGGCTCTTAATCTCAGGGTCACGGGTTCGAACCCGTGTTGGGCAAGGAGATTCCTGCATTGCAGGGGGTTGGGCTACATGACCTTCATGATCCCCTTTGAATTCTGTGTACAGTGTTTTTATTTTTATTATAAAAAGAGGTGCATTTTGTGTGCTTCCTCCCCATGTAGCCACTAGGGGGCAGTGGGCTGTCAGCATCAAAAGTCCCTTATGGTCCATAGCAGAAACAACTAAGTCTGTTTGGGTTTTCATTATTTATTTTGTGTGTTTTTATATTGCATTTTATGCTGTCAACCACGCTGAGATCTACAGGTATAGGTTGGTATGCAGATTTAACAAATAATAATAATACAGCTTAACAAATATCATTGTTTCCGTACAATATTCATGTAGCATTTTGACTCCCCATTCTTAACTTCCATGATGTTCAAATCCTTTATCTTAAACATAATACTTATTAACATATATCCTACATTACATTCCCTTATCGTTCTCGTTCCTTTGCCTATATTTCCTGTCCAGCCAGCCATTTCCTTTGGCTGTCATATTTCCCCAGATAATCCGAAAAGCTTCTCCGCTCTTCCACGAACGTTTTTGTCTTTTGGGTCTCTTATTTTTGCCGTCCATTTCGCCGTCTCCATACAAGTCCCGTAGTTTTAAATTCCACTCCTCTTTCGCCAGAACGTCTTCTCTCTCTCTCCCTCTCTTTGCGAGGGTATGAGAAAGTTTCCTGTTTTATTGGGGCAAATTCCTCTCAGATGTTTCCGTGGAGGTTCAGATTAGTTGCAGGCAGGAAGTGGAACACAGTTTAGGGGCAGTAGAAGGGATGGCGGAGTGGGGGGGGGAGAGGAGAATAAAACAAGGGGGGTGCAGACACAATACTTTCCAGGCCAGGCCTTTAAATCACCCACATGCAAAGCAGACGGGAAAGAGGGGGATTCGACGGAGAGACCACCTTCCTCCAGAACGCACCTCCTTTTCCAGCCTAAGTTCAGAGCCTTTGATGTGAGCTTTGATGTGATGGGAACTCAGAGCAACCAAGTAGGACAGCGTACCCTCCAACATTTCTCTGGTGAAAACAGGGACGTCCCGTTCCAAAACGATAATTTTTGCTGTTTATACCCCACACATCTTACTGGGTTTCCCCCAGCCGCTCTGGGCAGCTTCCAACATAGATATAAAAGACATAATTAAACGTTAAAAAAACCCCAAACTTCCCCATACAGGATTGCCTTCAGACAGGTCGGGGTCAGATAACTCCATACGCTCCAAAATTTCCCCTGTGAAAATAGGGGCACCCTACCACACCCTCCAACATTTATCTGATGAAAACAGGGACGTCCCGTTCTGTCATGGTAATTTTTGCTACTTATACCCCACACATCTTACTGGGCTGCCCCAGCCACTCTGGGAAGCTTCCAACATATATGAAAAGCTACCCTGGGCAGCTTCCAGTATGTGTAAAAGCATAATAAAATGTCAGACATTAAAACCTACCCGATACAGGGCTGCCTTAAAAAAAAAAGAATTTAAAAAAAATTAAACGTTAAAAAACCCAAAACTTCCCCATACAGGATTGCCTTCAGATGGCTCGGGGGTCGGATAACTCCATACCCTCCAACTTTTCTCAAGTGAAAATAGGGACGTCCTAAGGAAAAGTGCCTGTTGTCTTTGTCCATGGAGTTTTCTTGGCAGGGATACTGGAGTGGCTTGCCGGTTCCTGCTCCAGGTGGATCACGTTTGGTCAAAACTCTCCACTATGACCTGTCCATCTTGGGTGACCCTGCACGACATAGCTCATAGCTTCTCTGAGTTATTCAAGCCCCTTCGCCACGGCAAGGCAGTGATCCATGAAGGGGATTGATTCAAAATGGGGAAAGGAATACAACAAGGCTGTATATTGTCTCCCTGCTTATTTAACTTATATGCAGAATTCATCATGCGAAAGGCTGCGCTGGATGAATCCCTAGCCGGAATAAAGATCGCCGGAAGAAATATCAACAACCTCAGATATGCAGATGACACAACCTTGATGGCAGAAAGTGAGGAGGAATTAAATAACCTTTTAATGAGGGTGAAAGAGGAGAGCGCAAAATATGGTCTGAAGCTCAACATCAAAAAAAGTGAAGATCATGGCCACTGGTCCCATCACCTCCTGGCAAATAGAAGGGAAGAAATGGAGGCAGTGAGAGATTTTACTTTCTTGGGTTCCATGAACACTGCAGATGGTGACAGCAGTCACGAAATTAAAAGATGCCTGCTTCTTGGGAGGAAAGCAATGACAAACCTAGACAGCATCTTAAAAAGCAGAGACATCACCTTGCCAACAAAGGTCCGTATAGTTAAAGCTATGGTTTTCCCAGTAGTGATGTATGGAAGTGAGAGCTGGACCATAAAGAAGGCTGATCGCCGAAGAATGGATGCTTTTGGATTATGGTGCTGGAGGAGACACTTGAGAGTCCCATGGACTGCAAGAAGATCAAACCTCTCCATTCTGAAGGAAATCAGCCCTGAGTCCTCACTGGAAGGACAGACCCTGAAGCTGAGGCTCCAAGACTTTGGCCACCTCATGAGAAGAGAAGACTCCCTGGAAAAGACCCTGATGTTGGGAAAGATGGAGGGCACAAGGAGAAGGGGACGACAGAGGACGAGATGGTTGGACCTTGTTCTTGAAGCTACCAGCATGAGTTTGACTAAACTGCGGGAGGCAGTGGAAGACAGAAGTGCCTGGCGTGCTCTGGTCCAGGGGATCACGAAGAGTCGGACATGACTAAATGACTAAACAACAACAACGAGGTATGATGTATCTGGGGGGGGCGGTCTTGAGCTACTCCCCTTCTGTGATGTATGTATGATGTTCCTGGGGTTGGTCTTGATCTACAGGGTGGCAATTTCAAAAGTCTTGCGCACCATTGTTCTGGGTTCCTCCTCCGTGTGAGGGGAGCACCCTGTTGCAACAGATCAATAAAGATCAGGCTTACTAGCTGCTTTGCTTCTCAGAATTCTCTGGTTGGCCTCTGTTATTTTCTCCTACCAATAGGGAACCTATGTTAGGACTCTATATGGGCTCTTGGATACCCTGTAAGGGGAAAAGGACAGATTTTGTTTACAAAATGGCTAGTGGCCATCGATCGTCGTCTCCCCGTGGTCATCTCTGTGTCTTGTGGCAACGAGTCCTACGGGTTAATCCTTGTACTGCCCTACGCTTGCCTCCCATCCTGGTGGCATCTCGGTGGCATCTCCCTCTCCCCCCCCCACCTGCTTATGGGTCAGAGGACTCCTGCACACAAGCCAGCTGCCCGTGATGTCCTCCACCAGTTAAAAAGGCCATAAATGCAATTCTCTGGCTTGCTTTATGATGCACCCGGCTAATATTATGCTGTGTCCCTCCTTCTCCTCCTCCCTTAGTTTCAGGTGAGGGCCTTTGAATTCAGGTGAGGGCCTTTGAAGCTACCTCTTCAAAGGCCCGCGGGAAAGTTGGGGCTGATGTTTGCCAACACAACTTGCAAACACACCCACACAAAGCCAGATCACGGTTCACACCCTGGAGGGAATGGCTGGGGAGGTTTAGCGCATGGCTGTGAATGGGGGGAGGGTGGAGTAATTTTTTGCATTG